CAGCTAGTGTGCTCCACTATCGAGCGAAGCGAGATTGTATTGCTTTGACTCCTTCCACTCGTCTAGTCTAGAGAGTAGGGGAGAGAGAGGAGAGTGTCGGTGTCAGCTAGTGTGCTCCACTATCGAGCGAAGCGAGATTGTATTGCTTTGACTCCTTCCACTCGTCTAGTCTAGAGAGTAGGGGAGAGAGAGGAGAGTGTCGGTGTCAGCTAGTGTGCTCCACTATCGAGCGAAGCGAGATTGTATTGCTTTGACTCCTTCCACTCGTCTAGTCTAGAGAGTAGGGGAGAGAGAGGAGAGTGTCGGTGTCAGCTAGTGTGCTCCACTATCGAGCGAAGCGAGATTGTATTGCTTTGACTCCTTCCACTCGTCTAGTCTAGAGAGTAGGGGAGAGAGAGGAGAGTGTCGGTGTCAGCTAGTGTGCTCCACTATCGAGCGAAGCGAGATTGTATTGCTTTGACTCCTTCCACTCGTCTAGTCTAGAGAGTAGGGGAGAGAGAGGAGAGTGTCGGTGGCAGCTAGTGTGCTCGATAGTGTCGATTAGACTCCTTTCACTTGTCTAGTCTAGAGAGTAGGGGAGAGAGAGGAGAGTGTCGGTGGCAGCTAGTGTGCTCGATAGTGTCGATTAGACTCCTTTCACTTGTCTAGTCTAGAGAGTAGGGGAGAGAGAGGAGAGTGTCGGTGGCAGCTAGTGTGCTCGATAGTGTCGATTAGACTCCTTTCACTTGTCTAGTCTAGAGAGTAGGGGAGAGAGAGGAGAGTGTCGGTGGCAGCTAGTGTGCTCGATAGTGTCGATAGTGTCGATAGTCTGTCTAGTCTTTCTCCACTATCTCGCTTCGCTCGATAGAAAAGATAAGCGACCAGGGTTAAACCCTATAATAAATGTTTTCCACATGAGTGTTTTATTTTTCTAGCACCTAGGATTTTTGTCAGGTAGCATTTGATCTCTCCAATACAATTAAATAAGTGCTACCTTTTTTTTCCTCTCTCCTTTTTTCCAGTTATCGCGGCAGGCTCCTCGCTGCTTGGCCCAGACGAGACGAGAGAAAAAAAGATTAATCGCCCGGCATTCGGCGCCGCCTTGGTCAGCTTTCATTGCCCACCCCATTGTGCGCTACCTCGTATCGTTGAAATTTTCACTCTTTTTTTTTTTTTCTTTCGCATTTTTCATTCTTTGTCATTTCATTTAAAACTTTTAAGTTAGGAAAGAGGTTTAACTGTTATCACATTATTACTAGAGACCTTTTACCACCTAGAGCAATGTCTAACTTTGAGCCAGTTGTTGTAATTGACGGTAAGGGCCATTTATTAGGTCGTTTAGCCTCCATAATCTCCAAACAGATTCTTAACGGCCAAAAAGTTGTTGTTGTTAGATGTGAAGAATTGAACATTTCTGGAGAGTTTTTCAGAAACAAATTAAAGTACCACGACTACTTGAGAAAATCTACTAGATATAACAAAACCAAGGGACCTTTCCATTTCAGAGCTCCTTCAAGAATTTTATACAAGGCTATCAGAGGTATGATTCCACACAAAACAGCAAGAGGTAAAGCTGCTTTAGAAAGATTAAAGGTTTTCGAAGGTGTTCCACCACCATACGATAAGAAAAAGAGAGTTGTTGTGCCACAAGCTTTAAGAGTCTTGAGATTGAAACCAGGTAGAAAATACACTACTGTTGGTAAATTGTCATCATCCGTTGGTTGGAAATACGAGTCAGTTGTTAAGACTTTGGAAGAAAAGAGAAAATTACAATCTGCTGAATATTACGCTAAGAAGAGAGCTTTGAACAAGAAGTTGAATGCTGCTAAGGCTTCTACTGCCGATTCTGAAACTGCCCAAAAATTGGCAACTTTCGGATACTAAAAAGAAGAAGGTTATAGGAAGTATTGAAGAAATGAGATGAAAATAATTGTGTATCATAAAAAAAGAATAAAAAGAGAACTTGGGCTTTTTGAGCTGAGTAGTTGTTTATAGTAGTAATTCACAAGCTACTACCGATTGCTATAAAACAATTCTAGTGTGTTTTTTTTTTTATCAATTGTATTGTTTTATATAGAAGTTGAACCACACGGAAATTAATCTTTATAAACAAAGAGAGGAGAAGAGGGAGGGGAAAGAGATTTACGAGGATGTAGCAAAGAGAAAGTGAACTATTATTTCTCTAGACAAATAATCAAACCCGTGTAAGGGCAGTTATATATATGTAGCACCTGAAATATAGTTGGTTGCACTTTTCAGTAGTGATATATATAGCACCTGAAATATAGTTGGTTGCACTTTTCAGTAGTTACCCGTTCATTTACACACAGATACTTTTGAGTATTCTAACCAATCCATTTTTCAATTTTCTCCTCTTTATGTTATGCTTTGCAGAAGGTTTCATTCTTGGATTCTCGACACTTTCAGTTGTGGTGGTTGTTCCTGATGAGTTTGATGTTCTGCTGAGTAAAGATCTGTTTGTATCAGCACTGTTTTTCCTCCTTAATCTCATTTTCAAAGCATCAACATAAGTGACGTTACCGGTACTTTGATCTTTGAAATTCTGGTACCTCTTGAGAAACCCAACCACATCTAAAAACTCATTCGCCTCTTTTTTGTAAGTAGAACGCGAAATAATGTGGCTATCAGCAGCAGTGGTACCATCGGGGTTTGCTTTTATGTTTAATAAAAATTTAGGAAATTCATTAATTTTCAAATCTTTTAGTAGACTTTGCTCCATATTTTTATTCGTCGTTATTGTGTTGAACTTGAACTTATATAATCTTCCCAAATGGATCAAACTTAGTTGGTGTATCATGAATGTTTGTTGAAACAATACAAATTGATGATAGAACAAGTATAGGAATAAGTGGTTTATTGTGAGTTCTTCAGAGGTGACTTTATTGATTGAATGACTATTGATGAGACTTAGGATCGAAGAAAGCTTGATATTGATATCGTGATGGTTATAGATGATGGTTATTTCAATGTGGTCTTCATTCTGACTCCTGTTACTTGTTACGGTATTGGATCTGGCTCTTGTTTCGTTGGCTCTTGTTTCATCATTTTCATCATTTTCATCATTAATATAGACACGAGTATTAGTAGCAGCACCCTCACCGGCTAGTCTTGCTTGCAAATAGCATATAACGTAATCTGGATTATACTGTTGCGGTTGGTTCACTGGTCTCAACGTGAAACAAGAGTCACATGGAGAAAGGATACCTAATGGTGTTGTATTTGTAGTATCAGCCATCTTGTGGGAAAACAAAATAGGGGTTTCCAAGTTAAGCCACTTTTTCCAAAGTAGAAACCTTTGCTAAGCTTTTATATTGGAGATTCTAACAGTTTACACCAAACTGTCTCTGCAACCTCTCACCGTAAGTAAGCTATCAACTGTAACCTAACCTCTCACTCTGAGCTATTCCTTGTTATCCTCGTAACTATCCATCTCTTCAACTCTGATATCTATTTAAAAATTTCATTCAAAAAGCTCTATGGGGTTTTGTGTTTATAACCATCCCGTATATGCAGTCCACTAATCAAGGGTAGGCTTTATTATCTTTCTCTTTTGGGCAAAGAGGTGCTTTTGTACCATCGAACAAAATAAACCCTTCACGTGATGAGCATTAGCCGTTTATGATTGGCTCGAGAGGCGGCAAAAAAAATAATAGAAATAATAATAATAATAATAATAACAATAATAAACATATTAATAGTATATGAGACACGACCATAGGTAATAAAGGGAGAGACAGACACAATCAAGAAAAGAAACATTTGAAAGGCGACTTTATAACTATAGAGAGTAGTTTTTGTATAGGTGTAATAATATAATATTATTACTCACGACACTATCGAGCAGGGCAACACTAGCTGACACCAGTAAGCTCAGTTTAGGTGCTGGTAGAGTAAATATAGCAGTTGGCAAGTAGCAAGTAGCAGTTGGCAAGTAGCAAGTAGCAATTATCAAGTAGCAATTATCAAGTAGCAAGTAGTGACAAGAACTGATAAAGCAAAACTAACTTATGCTGATACTGACTAATATCTTGCATTTTTGTAGAACTATCTATTATAGACGAAGCTCGATATTGGAAAACTCGTGATAGATCAGTCCTTCCTTTTCCCCGTACTCACAAGCCCTGTGACCTTTGCAATAGCTCTAATTCGGTCACGAGTTTTCTGTCAAAAAAATAATGCACAATTACCCCTTTTTTTTTCTCTTAAAGGTTGTCTTAGAACAAAAAGCAATTTCTCGTGAAAATTTACGGTTGTATAGTGAAACAGATCTATTATGAAAAGATAAATATCAACCGCCTTGGTAGAGATACGGTGGGGAACTTTATTTTCATGTGTTGTTGAGCTTAATGAGGTTTTATAACACTACCAAAAGAGGTTTCATATCGTGCCAAAGAAGGTTTCACGTGGTGCCAAAAGAGGTTTTATATCGTGCCAAAAGAGGTTTCATATCGTGCCAAAAGAGGTTTCATATTGTGGCAAAAGAGGTTTCATATCGTTTATAATACTACTAAAATTGGCATCATGTGGTTTTATAAACTGCTTGTTATTTAATTTTGTAGTGATACTCTCTGCGATGGCATTTTCCGCTTCTCTTTCTCCAAAGCACACACTACATCGACACTGACTAGCGACATCATCTCGCTCTGCTCGATAGTAGAGCACATTGACTACATCGACACTGGCTAGCGATAGTGTCGCCAGTCACTACAACCAATAGATCTCTCTTGTTGAGCGAGCTCCATTGTCAAGCGAAGCGAGATAGTGTCGTTTAGGGAAGCATCTAAATAAATCTCTCTTGTTGAGCGAGCTCCATTGTCAAGCGAAGCGAGATAGTGTCGTTTAGGGAAGCATCTAAAGCATGCAGATAATAGTAGTAGCTAGTCAGCGTTGCTCCACTATCTCGCTTCGCTCGATAGGCTACCAATAAATCTCTCTCGTTTCCCTGTCGCTAGTGGTGGCAGCTAGTGTGCTCCACTATCTCGCTCTGCTCGATAGTGACCATGTGTGCAATAAATTAAAACACACAAACTTCATCACACATCACCTCGATAAACCTGCTCCTGCGTACATCAATTAAATAAAACTCATCTACTTTTTCATCATTTTCAATTTTTTGCAAGATTTCACTAATGAAAAAACTCACTTTATCGTTGTTAACGATTTGACCTTGGTATAAGCTTGATAAGTTTTCAATAACAACTACTGAACTCAACTGTACTTGTAAGAGCGCTTGCAAGTCAATTACATGTTCATAATTGATTGAATCATACAATGTTGGATCAGCAATGTTTAAAAGAAGTTCGGGTGTCGTAGTATTTATATACGTCACCTTCTGTGAAGAAATAGTGGAGAGCAATTGAGATAAAGCCTTTTCATGGTTATTGCTTGATATCCAATACCTTATCATGGTGTTGGTAAACACCGCAACTGTAGATGAAAAAAGTGTCGAATCTGCAAATATCTGCAAAAGGAGAATTTGAGAGATATCAGTCAGATCGATTTGGTAGCACCTAATTTTTCAGCCACATCTTAATAAAAGTACATACAACATATCACATTAGATTCTCGACAAACTCAACTCGACTTGTTTCTACTCTACTGTTTCCACTCTACTGTTTCCACTCTGCTGTTTCTAATTTTCAACTGTTTCAACAACAGCACCTTCAACAGGTGTTGGCTTTTGGTCACCTTTAACAGGTAACTGTTTTAATGGTCTTTCATCCAAAGGAACCTCAAATTTCTCCTGACTTTTCCTAGCTTGCACAACTGTTTTGATTTTTTCATTACTTGCAATTAAACCGTACCTTCTAAACTGCTTAATCAAATCAGTCAACTCCTTACCTTCTTTATCTTGACTCTGAGCTGCAAATACGTAACCCAATTCGACAAACCACTCATAGCTCAATTTAAACTTAAAATTAGAAGCATCTTCTTGGGCCTCACGAACAATCTCTTTTAATGGTCTATCCATATTCTCCTTGACTAAGGGAGTATTGTATCCTTCGCCTTCTTTCAACTGAACTCCCAAATGTTTGATAACTTGGAACAACCCAGCTTGATGAGCAGGTATCATACCACCATGTTCTTCAATCTTTAGTTCTCTATAATAATCCTTGTAGTCGTCAATAGTTGCTTTCTTGGTACCGGTCCAACCCAATTCAACAAGTTCTTCCTTTGTAACGTTCAATTTAACATTACTGTTGCCAAATAGATTAAACCTCAATAATTTAATAGGATTAAATACTCCAGTGTAAAGAAAGCCAAAAAGGAAAAATAACTTGATCACATGGAACGCAAAAAAGATGCATTGCAAGGGAATACTCACATCATCTTCAATGTCCTCCATCAATTTAGCCGCTAACCCATTATAACCATATTTGACTGCAATGGAGCTCAATACTCTAGTAATTTGATTAGTTAAACATATTCCAGGAGTTGGACTAATGAAATCTGGTAAGTCAGTATATAACCAAGCCAAGAGTGCAAGAACAAGAGAGTAAAACGCAAAGTAATTAAACTCCCATTCAGGTAAGATCAATTGGCCTGGCCATACATGATTGTTGATCAATTCGTCTGGAGGGAAAATACTACTTTTAATCTTTCCAGCATCGTTATCAAAAATAAAATTCCCATCTTCAGTGAGGTATCCCGGTGATGTGCTTTTTCTGTACCCTATTGGCCTAGCATGGTAGAATATACTTGGTCTCAACGATAAAGGTAATGTCTCGAATATGCGATCCAAGTCTCTAAATCTAGTTTTTGTATTGATTTGAAAACAATAATCTTTTTCTTGATCATCATTGAATCTTACATAAATATCAGTGTATGCAATCTCTTCTCCTTCTTCCTCTTCTTCCCCCTTTTCGAAAACGGTTTGTTGTTCCGGTTTTTGCTTCACTTCCTCTACTTTTGCGTCACTCATTACGGAGGAGTCAAATTAACCAAAGGATACTAAGCGGTATAACGATATGTGTCGATGGCCTCTTCTTCTTCTTCTTCCTCTTTTTTTTTTTTTTTTTTTCAACAAAGAGAAGGGCGGCTAATCCTGGTTTTAGTGTGTCGTGGGAAAATTCAAAATCAGCGGTCGATGGGGTCCGTCAATTGACGATTCGGGCGAGAAAGGCCGAAGGTGTGGAGGCAACATATGGGGGAAGAAAAAATAAAAACATCGATAACTCCCAAATACTCACAAAATTACTTGAAGGGTGTTTGAGAGATCTTTCAATATTAGTTACAAAGATCTCCAAGAAAGATCTCCAAGAAATAATGAATAGATATTTTTGCAATGTGGCTATACAAAAATTAATGAATAGATATTTTTGCAATGTGGCTATACGGTTTTACAAAATACTCCAGGCTGTGTAATCTTAAACCTTGCTTTTTATTAACTACTAGAAAGCGAGAATACAGGATATAATTTAAATGATGGAAGTTACTTCAATTAACCTGAAAAAGGAAAACATCCTGCTGCGTCTTAATAAAGCCTCGCCTAGTTGATAAAAGTCTAATTTCATCATATTTACACCCTTTTCTAAGTATTATTGTGTGCGTGGTCGCGTGCGCGCGTTTACTACTATATCAAAACCCCCTTCCATTAATATTCGCGTTCATCACGATCAATGTAGGATTGATTATTAAGATCACCACCTATTTTCTGTAAAAGTTTTCGAGTAAACCAAAAAAAAAAAGGATCACAAATTTATGTAAGTAATAAAGCCTATTTTAGCAAGGGGGCAATGTCAAGTTCCAATTGTTACATTCGCCTCAAGAAGTAAAAAAAAAAAAAAAAAAAATCCGGCAATTTTTCCAAGTTGGTATAAGTTTTGTACCAACGCGTATTGGTTTGTAATGTCGTATGAAACTAAACGACATGTCAATCTCTTGATGACAGAAAAGAAGTAATGCGACATTTTTTTTTTTATCCTGCCAAAAAATGAGTACGACATTTTTTAATTTTATCTTGCGACAATTTGTAAATGGCACAGCCCCTATCTTTTGAGGTCGTGTTTAGTTTGATAATTATCTAAATAATATATTTTGCAATTAACCAAATCGGGAAAAAATGACACAGCGACTTGCATTTTTACATTGCCCAAACAGTAACGGCGATAATTATACCGAGAAAGACAGGGAGAGAAAACAACTAAAGGCAGAACTTGTTCATAGTTCCAAATATCTGATATCTCTTTGATATCCGATATGGAAGATTAGACTTTTTATACTAGAAACTCACGTGTTGAATCAAGAAGTCACGTGATCAACCCATACTCGACAGAAGAGTGGCTTACAATAGGTTTGTGTTTATGTTTGTTAGTAGAACAATATATAAAAAAAAAAGTTGTCTAAATTGCCGCTTTAACCTTCTCTCTCCCTCCCCCACCCCCTTCCCCCGTTTGTTACATCCGGAATTTCCATGAGTGGACAAGGGATCAATGGGAGAACAATGCGTTATTCTTAAAAAGTTTGCCTCTTTTTAGAAGTTATTTAATCCCCATGATCAAAATAACCTCACCTCACTCACTTAGTTAATCAACCTCTCGTTTTTGCTTTACAAACAAAACTTTTAAATATTAAAGCAAAGCCATCAAGACCCATCAACAAAACAACACCTGTGTTGTTGTTTACAAAATTGGAATTCAAACTAAATTTAAGAACAACTCACATAAGACTAAGTGTTTTAATGCAGTGAACAATCAAAAATCTCAAGATAGTGCATTACCCCCCTATCCCCCTTAGTATAAAAATATCTCATACGACATTTGTCGCAATATTGCAAGCAAGTTCGAGACCCACCGGTTAAAAAACAAAAACTAAAAAGAAACGCTACCGCTTCAATAGTCAAACCAGCACTAATTAGTTGAATTGCCAACAATTCAAACCCATGTGTAGAAGTAGACCAGAACAAAACAAGGTAGACCAGATCACAGAGACACTGGACTAAGCAAAGGTCTCTTAAAAGAAATTGTGAATCAAAGTCTACCCAATCATCTTCTACGCGTTATTATAACCTTTAGTACTTGTTACATGTATAAGTAGCTACCCATATATATTAATTCAATTTGCATAAGACACCTTTTCTAAATGAGTGAGATTTTTAGTACAAACGCAACAACCTCTTTTGCCGTCACTGAGCGACCTTCACCTAGTTTGTCTTTATATAAATACCTCACAAATTGTTACAAAATTTTTCACTTCTTTTCAAACAAAGACGGTTAGAAAAGTACTCTTGTCTTGAATTTTTTTTCTTTTTTTTTTTTAAAGACGGGAAAGCTAGAGGTAACGCTTTTTCATCTTTCTTCAAATTTGGCCTTATTCTCCAGTCTATACCGGCTATATCTTACTAAGAAAGGAAGGGACTTATCAATCGCTATTTGAATAAAGCCTAATAAAGTTTTGAATTTTACTCACCTTCACTCGTTAAATTTGAAAAATATTCTTTTAGTTCCAATATCTATCTGATCACGTGACTACATTTTTCAATTTTTCAATTTTTCAATTTTTCAATCAATCAAACAATATGATGGGAGTAACATTAAAATCGGTACTTGTATCGGCTTTAGTAGGTTTGACTTCTATTGTCAAAGCTGCAGACTTGCCAGCTATTGAAGTCGTTGGTAATAAGTTTTTCTACTCAAATAACGGTTCTCAATTTTATATCAAGGGTATTGCTTATCAGCAAAATCCGGAAAATTCAACAGGTACATTTGTTGATCCTTTAGCTAATGCCGAGACTTGTAAAAGAGATATTGCTTATTTGTCGGCTATTGATACCAATGTCATCAGAGTTTATGCGTTAGATGTCAATGAGGATCATACCGAGTGTATGCAAGCTTTAGCAGACGCTGGCATATATATCATTGCTGATTTATCTCAGCCAGATGAATCAATCAATAGAAAAGATCCACAGTGGACATTGGACTTGTTCCAAAGATACACAGATGTTGTTGACAAATTTCACAATTATACTAATGTCTTGGGTTTTTTTGCTGGTAATGAAGTAACCAATGATGATACAAATACTGCTGCTTCTGCTTATGTCAAGGCTGCTATAAGAGATACCAAGGCTTACATCAAGGCTAAAAACTACCGGTCTATCCCAGTTGGCTATTCCTCAAATGACGATGATATTATTAGAGTAGCATTAGCCGATTATTTCGCTTGTGGCAACCAAGACGAAAGAGCTGATTTCTTTGGTATCAACATGTATGAATGGTGTGGTACACAAACCTATCAATCGTCAGGTTACCAAAATGCAACAGAAGACTACAAGAACTTGGGTATTCCAATTTTTTTCTCGGAATATGGCTGTAATCAGGTCCAACCTAGAAGATTCGAAGAAGTTTCAACTTTATTCGGTAGTCAGATGACTGATGTTTGGTCGGGTGGTATTGTTTACATGTATTTTGAAGAAGAAAACAATTATGGTTTGGTTTCTGTTGATTCAAATGGTAAAGTTTCAACTTTGGATGATTACAATTACTATAAATCGGAGATCAAAAAAATTAGCCCATCTTCAGCTTCAATCAATTCCCAAAATGCAACTGGCGCTTCATCGCCTACTTCATGCCCTACTGCAACTGACGTATGGGCTGCTTCAACTGAATTACCTCCAACTCCTGATAAGGATATTTGCGACTGTATGCAGTCATCGTTGAAATGTGTAGTTAAAGATTCCGTTGACGATGAAGACTACGCTGACTTGTACGACTATGTATGTGCAAAGGTTGATTGTTCAGGAATCTCATCAAATGGTACAACTGGTAAATATGGTGCATATTCTCCATGCTCACCAAAGGAGAAATTGTCATTTGTCTTTAACTTGTACTATTTGGATCAAGGCGAAAGCTCGTCAGCTTGTGATTTCAGTGGCTCGGCATCTTTAAAGAGTGCTTCGACAGCTTCTTCGTGCTCAGCTTATTTAAGTTCAGCTGGTGTTTCGGGATTAGGTTCAATACAAGGCAGTGTGAGAACAGATACTTCTGAAGCTACAGGTAGTAATGGTAAATCTGGCAGTTCTAGCGGTTCCTCATCAACCAGTAGTGGTTCCTCATCTTCGTCAAGTGGGTCATCGGATAAGAAATCAGCCGCTTCTAGTGTAACTTTAACTGCATTCACTAAAGCTGGTGTAATCGGACTTTCGATGATTGTTGGTTTTGGTATGATTATGATATAGAAGTATTGAAAGTAATGGAAAATTAGATATATATATATATATATAAACATAAACAAATAAACAGAAGAGTTAATACAGAGATTTTCAAGTGTCATTTCTCTTATTAATAATACACGGTTGGTAAATTACTACAAAAATAATGATACAAGTAAGATGGGAGGCACAAAGTCAATCTCGACACTATCTTCCTCTCCTTAATCCTCTTCAGTAACCATTTTCCTAATTTCCCAGTAATAATCTCGTTTTGCTTCATTAGTTCCAATGAACCAATGACCAATCTTTCGTTCAATTTTCTGTTCCTCTTTCAAAAACTTATCAACTAATTTATCACTCAATTTCAACTCCTTTCTCTCATGCTTATAATTGTGGTCCGATTGTGTTGATGATGAGGCTGTATGAGAAGTTGCCGTTGATACAGTTCGTTGGGTATATTGACTGCACAAACCACGTCGCGAACTAAGCGGTAGTGGTGGTGGTGGTGGCGGTGATGATGATGATGATTGAACGATACATATATCATCGTTGTTATTATTCTTCTTTTTACTAGGCGATCCACGTTGTGAAAGTTGGGATAATTGTTGAGGAACATTATACTGTGTTAAAGTCTCTACTGGGTCAGTCAAATCGGGTATATCATCGAAAATCATCTCATCTTCTCCTCCACCTCCTTCTTCAAGATTTATCCATCTTAAATTCTTCTCGTCATATAACATATTACCTTGTTTCTTACAAGATAATCCAGTCCCAATAGCACTACTCCTAGGTTGAATATCTTTAGATGTAATTAAAGATGGCTTTTTTTCAAATCGTAGTAAATCAACTTCATTACCTTCCCAAACACTTTTCTGTTTGTTAAACCTCATTGCTGATTTCTGGTGTTGTATAGGAATATCTGTTGCTGCTGTTGTTGTTATGGTTGTAGGTTTCAAATGTCGTAAATTGCCCATTTTCCTATTACGGCCATGAATGTGTTTACTCTTTGTTTCTTTAAATTTATCAAGTATTTGATTTCTATCCTCGGTATTTATTAATGCTGGTTTACTGTAATAAGATGGAATCCGATCCAATCTTTTAATTACTCGATTATTATAGTTGAATTGAGGTTGTTCATAAATATCCTCTTCATTCTCCTCATTGATTCTTCCATGCAAATCCATTGATGATTTAAACTTCTTCATTATGGAAACATTATTCCTTGCCAACGATGGCATTGATTGCTTATTCAGTAGTTTCCTCGTGCCATACGACGAACTCGGCTGTTGCATATGTAGTTGCTGTAATTGAATCCTCCTAAGTGGCTGGATTTTCAGTATGCTTTCTTCCAATTCAGCTTCGTTGAACCCTTCTTCAAATTCATCGTAATCGTCTCTAGTATATTCGTAATTTATAGTTCTTTCAGTTTCCAACTGGTCCAAAAGCGACAAGTTCTCATTGGTCAACTTGTGGCCACCGTCTTTGAATCTTTCCGATTTGGGACTCTCCTTAAATAACAAAACACGTGTGTTTTTATTCTGCTGGTGCTGTTGCTGTTGCTGTCTCATTTGAATCAATTCCTGTTGCTCTCTTTCCGCTTCCCTTTGTTGAGCTACTTTTCTTGCAATTAATCGTTGATTCATCTGCTGGTATATGCTTTGGTTCTGATTGTTTTTATTGAAACATTCGTCCCACCCTTCAAATTCATCCTGGGAAAACTCTGAAGTGATATCAGTGTCGTTATTCTCGTTTCCTTCGCTGTATTCACTAAGCGCATCCCGCGTTATTCGTTTCCCACTAGACTTTGTTGATTTCGTAGGTGAACTAGAGCCACCATTCTTGGGCGTGAGTTGAAACAGCGGCAGATTATGTGTATTTAAATTGAGCTGGTTCACCTTCAATGTCTCTATAGCGTCATCATCGTCACCACCGGTACCCATACCTGTACTCGTACCAGCACCCATACCAGAACCACCGCCATTTTTTGCCTCCTTTTCTTTTTCATATTGCCGCCTTGTTGATTTTCCTACCTTATTTCTAGTTGCTGCTGTCCCCGTCCCTGGCCCAAAGTCAACATTCTCAATGTCACCAAATATCTCATCTTCTTGATCATCCGCAAACTGCCTTAGCAAATCAGCTTTCGTCAAAGGCTTCATATCAATGGTCTCTTAGCCTTGACTCACCTGGATATCGGTGATCAGTGATGGGGTCGGTCCCTTTGATTTGTTTAGACAGAAATGTAAACAAACAAACAAAAACACATTTACACGACCCGACACCATCGACCGATACCGTCGACCGATACCATCGACCGATACCGTCGACTGACACCGTCGACTGACACCATCGACAGACACCATCGACAGACACTACCTCACTCCGCTCGATAGTGGAGCAGCACTGACTACACTGGGTTTAATTTAACTCCTACCAATCACTCGTTAACAAACATAAACCTCAAATGTAGATACCTCTAGATACCTCTATAGTATGATTCTGAATAATGGTTTACCAGAAATCAAGTGAGGATATAAATGTATTGAATCTATGGCCTGCTCCACTATCAAGCTGCAGCCACCAACACTATCGAGCAAAGCGAGATAGTGGAGCACTAGTGTGGAGACCTCCAAGGCTTGGCTAGAATTGGCCATAAGAGGACACTTTATCCACCGACACTAGCTGCTACCAACATCGGCCCGATCCCCTAACCCGACACCAATTCACCCCCACCCCTATTTCGCTACCAACTGTTTATGTGTTTGTGTGTTTGTGTCAATTAAAAAGGGAAGCTACCAATTAAATCTTTTTGCAACTTTGACAATTGGGTATTGAAGATGGGTGGTAAGATGATCAAGGTGATAAAAAATGCCAAAATTGACAAGAATAGGGTAAAGTATTTGACAACTCTCCAGTTTCTTTTCCTTTTTTGGGCTTGACTTATAATTGGTCTTGAAAATTGACGCAGCGGCTTTAACCAGAATAGCATACTTGTATGTAATGTATCGATATATGGAATCAATACTATTGGAAACATGGTGAATAAACAAATATGCCCCAATAAGAAATCAAAGGAAAACTTGTTCAACTCTAAAATTTTTATAATCAATTCTCGGACATTCTGTGACACAACGGCAATTCCTAACCCGCTTTTGTACCACTTTCCTGACCACCATGCCTCATTGGTAACATTTTCTTGACGCTCTCTTGAAACCGCTACAATCAATATAAAGTTGGAAATGACTCGGTGGAAGCTAAAAAGAACCAAGAGTGCAGAAATCAAGTGAACAAAGTTCCATTCTTCCAAAAAGAAAAAAACTTCAATATTGATAATATTGATCAATATTGATAGGAAATGCGCCACGCCGGCAAAGAATGCTGGAGTCCTCTTGATACATAGGGCAAAAATGGGTGCTAATGTTACGGAAGTTGCCCAAATCGTGGCTAAAATCGCAATGTTCGCCACATAGGGAACAACCATAGCAAGTGCAAGCTTAATTAGCGGATTCGATAAACTCAATTCAATTAAACTATGGTTGGAATGAAGATATAGGAATGGAATCACATACAGCACCAAACCAATACTTGGTGCAACAACTTCACCAAGTAGTAAATTAATAGTAGTGGAACTTCTCCCCAGTAAACACCCTTGAGATTTCTCTCCAGTTAATCTTGATCGAACATTCTTAGTAAACAGAATCCACGACAGTTCTTTAGGTTTGGTGTTGCCTCTAGATAACCACCGGATAAACTCTCTATAGTCAACAAAGAAATCAATAAAGTTGAATTGATGAGGATTGAATAAAAACGGTGCTAAACATAATGAAACAATGGTTATAACAAACCAAAGCAATGCATTTCTTCCAACAGTCATCATGCCAAATAACACAACGAGCAATATCTCTCCGCCACAATATATTGATAGATTAGCATATCTAGTGTATAGCAATGAAAACGAAACTCTCGATATGGCAAATCCTCTTCCTGTGGCTATATATTGAGCTTCCCCAAACACAAAATTGTCTCTTAAAGCCCTTGAATATACTTGACATATGAAAACTTCGAAAAATGGTGACAATGACGTGATATGTAAAACAATTCTAAAAATCGATCTAATGAACCCCTTCTCAATTAACTCCTGGATGATCAAAGGTAAAAATGAAATAAAAAAACAAACAAATACTGATAGAACAAACCTATCTATCCAGTTTAATACCGGAACTAAATTATGACAACCAGGGATATCATTATTACCACCACCTTCTTTTCTTTCACAAGGAATATTTATATAGTTGAGCGATCCCAAATTAGCAACTAATAGCATGAAAATCTTGACTGATAACATGATTGATAAATTGTTTATATGAAACCCAGGATGCGCATAGTAAAATGACAAGAATCTATCAATAGGAAGCTTTGTCCCCAAATAAAAGTACTCTCTAGATAATAGCTGCTCTCCCATTCCAGCACCAATCTTTTTGGTGAAATTGACAATTGATTGGAACCCCAAGTCACGGCCTTTGCCACATTGATAATAATCGCAGTGTTTGATTCTACCACCACGACAAGTTGCTGTGATACCTGCATAGATGTCTTCATTTAAATGTAGACCCCTTTGTGCTTTTGAAATACCACCTCTAGTAGTCATGAATATTCCATTCAAAAAATCGGGATGTCCATAATGTAGTTTCGATCCAATTTCACCCATTGTTCGAGCAAACAAGGTACCAAAAGTCTGCTCCTTTCCAGCTGCTATATCGCCCAATATTCCAACATTTTGGGAGAATATAAACTCTCTGGCACCAACAATCGCCACTGGTGGATACTGTTGCTGTTTTTTTTCATGAATCGGTGCCACCTTGTAAGGTTCATATGCATTTGTCACTTTGATATCAATCTCTTCAAACTCGGTTAATAGAGATTTGATTTTCAAACACTCCTCAATGTAATTATCCTGATTAGCATCAATGACTTGAATATACTCTCCCCGGTAGAATATAAGGGCATTGTTTTGATTATCTGATTTCCCATCACCCAAAATCGGATTTCCTGATAGTTTGATTCGATATTTCTTGATATACTCACCTCTAGAATCCCGATGCGATACATCCAATAATGTGGAGTAATACGCATTACCTTCAGTCTCCAAAATAGCAACACAAATATTGGGGAATGCCCGGAATAGTGCCTCGGCATCAGCCGAAGCATCGTTTGAAAAATTCTGATACTTTTGCATAGCTACAAGTAAGCAAAATTTCCGATCAACAAACTCTTGTAATTCTTCTTCAATGAACAAATCATTTTCAGCATCAAGCCCGATATTTTCACTTCGATAAAGAATCTTTAGAGCAGTTTCATAATTCATAAATCCAGAAACCGTTCTGTACAAAGTTTGACACCGCAATGCTGCCCAAATCCTTGTACGGAGGACATTTTCAGCAGATGAATCTTTGAAACCAATACAATAGTAGGGCAAATCTTCAAATTTTTCAAATTTAGTTTCTTCTTCTCCTTCTCCTTCTCCTTCCCCTTCCAATTTATCCAAATTCAGAATCATTTTACTATCCTGAACAAACGATTCCCATTCATTGCTATGCAATTGCTTCAAGTACTCCAATAAGGACAATTTAGAGAAACTTTGCTCCTTTATCAAATCCTTCAAAGATAAAAGAATCTTTTCTGAATAATGTGGGATTAAAACGGTAAAAGATGGTATTGAAACCACGGGAAACGGTTCAGGAAGTGGACTAGATAGAGACTGGGCAAAAAACGTAATTCTTCTTTCCCATTCTTCTTCAGTCTTGATAAATGCATGTAGTTTAAAGGTGTTGTCGTCTTCATTGACAAAAAATAAAGGTGGACGGATATTCTCATCCTCAAACTCCTTTTGGTATATCAACTTCCCAACTTGTTCAACTGAAAGTAGATGTTCTCTATACATTGATATGATGATACTGTTCCAAATTTGGGATATCACCAATATCAAATTCATTGATTCTCCATAGTAGATTTTTGTCAATACTCGATCAGGCAACCTAGCAAAAATATTTCGCCATGGAGTGAAAATTGATACACCCAATGAAAAAGAAAGGCCAACCGAAAATAAGCAATTGCAAATAACATACCAAAGATAAGTATCCAAAAAGAACAAGATCAAGTCGGTCAAATAAAACAAAAACAAGGTGATCTTGGGTTGGAACTTACACAAAAAATGCCCACTATTGCACTCCAACTCAATACTCGACAATATCTGTATAGGATCCTTTAATGATAAAATCAAAAAGAAATACGACTCGGAATTTTTCGCAGCAAAAACAGTAACCCATAAAAAGACCGAAAAAAGCCGATTTCGCAACCTTAATTTCGGGAAGGAGGTTGCAAAAATGGAGTCGATGCTACCAAATGGTACAATTGACAAGTATACAAATGTAATGATTGATACAGTCAACATGAGGCCGGCGAATATGTTTCCCAAGTGAGAATACTCGTTCCATTTCAAAATCACCAAGTTGTAAGTTATAGGAGCTGTATTTAGGACTAGCAATAAGAGCAAAATAGCCAATTTTTTAAAATTCTTGCTCTTGATGAATAGAAACTCGGAAATGGTTGCAAATAAGGAAATTAATGCGGCAATAGTGCCGCCAGCAGACACAATTGCTAATCTGATATGCAACAAGGGTGTCTTTTCCGGTGTATAGTCTCTGGTATACAACGAAGGGGAGTTGAATGACATAAAGTACCAAAACATCGAAACATGAATGATCCAGATGCGATTGAAGTTGGTCAATACGTGAATCCAAGTTCTTCGTTCACGATAAGTCTTTGAAAGCGACTTTTGCCAATTTATCTGGCAAATCTCCTTGAATCTCGATTCCTTCTTTATCTCGTAAAACACTTCACCTGAATACAACTTGAGCTTATTTAGTCCTTGACGACTCCAAAAATGTTGATTTACGTCATCATACCCAATAGTCTGTGAATGGTCTACTTCTTTTCTTTTCCATCGGTCACCAATAAGCTTATACTGTTGATCTCTTAGGAAACTGTACAAGGGTGTAATAATCTTATCAAGAAAATAAAATTTCTCAAAATTTTCTCCTTGATAATCCAAGGCACATTGATAAATAAAACATAGACATTCAGGCATAAAGCGTATATTATTGGCTTCTCCCCAAATGAGCAAATACAATGCAACTTGATAAACGTAATCTTCCTCAGTGCAATTACGAAACTTCCTTAGCCACCTATCTTCCTCATCCTCGCCATCGAAACCACCACCACCACCACCATCATCATCACCATCACCATCATCATCATCATCAATTTTAGTTGATTTCTTCATCCTCTTTTTCTTCTTTTTCTTTTTTGGCGTCCAATTTTCATCATCTTCATAAAAGTATTGTGCAGATAAATACCAATTTTTATAATTGGAATTCAATCCTCCAATGTAGTTCATATGCAATGATTTCAATGCACAAGAGCCACTCATTCTACTTGACCTTGAATCTAGTTGAGTCATGAATAAAGCGTATATGTTCCTTACATTGTCATCCTGAAACCCATATTTGGTAGCTAAATTATTGAAAATTGCCAATATTCTTTCGGGAGTTATATTACCTTCATTTTCTTCACACCACGCATGGTATTGATTATCTTTAAAGCCCATCTAAGCCCATTGACTATCGAAAAAGCAGTAAGAGAGAGTATGAGGTATGAGGCATGGTGAATAGAATAGAAAAGAAAAGCTGTATATGATCTTATAGGATATAAAGCCTGGTAGATTTATTGTATAACAAATAAATAAATAAAAAAAAAATGGATAATTTTTTGCAATCAAATAAAAAAATTAATTGTTTTAATGCTCTCAGCAGGATTCGAACCTACGATCTCCTCATTACTAGTGAGGTGCCTTACCAACTTGGCCATAAGAGCTGATATCTGATTGAAAAGACATTGATTGTTGGAACCTGGCGACATGACACTATCGACACTATCGAGCAGAGAGAGATAGTGGAGCACTAACTAGATTCTACTACCGACACTATCTCGTTCTGCTCGATAGTGGAGCACACTAGCTGCCACCACTAGCTATAATAATTTCGCAATGTGAAACAGCAATGTGTAACATGTGTGAAACCGCAATGTGTGACATAACAAGGAGGGGGGACTTATCTATACAGGAAAAAGGTACTAAAGATAGTATGAGTTTGGAATGGTTATGATATAGGTAAAAAAAAAACTTTGCAAGTATGTGTATGTGTATGTGTGTATGTGTGTATGTGTATGTTTTTTCCTGTAGGAGGGCCAAAATGAGACTATATAAACAAGACATCATGTCCCAAGAAGCAAACATGAATAAACAGAGTAACCCAAAATGAACAAAAAGAGTAAGATAACATGCCTTTGCCATTTATTACCACTTAGTACCTTCTCTAATACAAGAACCATCATTCATGGTTTATAACCACTTGCGATTTTACTAAATAGCATATTAGTTTTTTTTTCAAGCAAATGCAGGCCATAGTGAAAGTTATAGAGTAAAACTTAAAACTAGAAAGAGCAAGAAATCTAGAAAGAGCAACAACTATAAAGCAACAACTAGAAAGCAAGAAATCTCTCTATTTACTTCTACATTGCTAACTACACAAAGGACAAAACAAGGCAAATGTGAATTTCACTATTGTTTTTATTTTTAGGAAATAAAATCAAGATGGAACACACTTGGTAGTTGTTAGATAATACTAGCTAAGCATTTTTTTATTATTCTTTTCTTCCTCATCGAATCCAGCCGCGTGACAAGACCCTCCTTCGTCAAAATGACAAGAGTAGGGCAAGGGTATATAAACTTTATTCATTGTTATGCAGTTTGCGTTATTAACAGCTCCAGTATTCTCAGTGCTAAATTTAAATTTTTAATAAGCTTGGTAAGTGATCAAACTGTTTTCTGATCTTCTGTTGCTATATATTGTAATCTTCCCCTTTCAGTTACCCTTTTCAGTTACCCTTTTCAGTTACCTGCTTCTTATTGCTTAACAACAACGGCTCTTTATACCTAGCTCCTTATCTACAACTCCTTATCTAGCTCCTTATATCTAGCTCCTTATCTAGCTTCTTATATCTAGCTCCTTATCTAGCTCCTTATATCTAGCTCCTTATATCTAGCTCCTTATATTAAGCAAAGTATGAGTTACCCTCAGTATGAGCAACAATACTCATACCAGCAATTTCCTCCAAACAAACCCAATGCAAGAGATGAGTCTTACAGAGTAAACTTGGACTTGGAAAATGCAAAGTACCAAAGACCGCAACCATCTCAGGATTTCGATGAGAGCTTTAAAATTGAAAAACCAAGGTACAATGATTGGCCATTTACGATATTCTTTTTACTAACTGTTGCTGGATTCATTGCAGTTGCCGGAATCACAATAAATGCTTTGAGAGTAACTTATGGCGACCAAGGTTCGGGAATCTATGGAGATTCCGATTCATTCACCATGAACAGGAATACAGTGATTTTATTTGCATTTGTCTTGGTCTTGTCGATTGTGCTTGCTGCTTTGGGGATTCTTTTCATACGAGCATATGCTAAATTGTTCATTTATGTTGCTTGTATCTTGAATGTCGTTTTATCTATTGGCACTGCCATCTTCTATTTTGTTGAACACTACTATAGCGCAGCAATTGTGTTTTTGATTTTTGGTTTATTTGCAGCTTGGTGTTACTGGGCTTCAAGAAGAAGAATTCCATTGAGTGCAACCATTTTGAGAATTGTTGTGGATGTAATGAAGATGTATCCATCAACTTTGATAACGGCATTTATCGGACTTGTTATTAGCACCGGGTTTGGCGCATTGTTTAGCGTGGTTATCATTGGAACTTATGTCAAGTATAAACCAAATGAAGACAATACTGGATGTTCAGTTGGTGGTGGCTCGTGCAGCCAAGGCAAGCTAGTTGGTGTTTTAGTATTTGTATTCTTTGCTGGTTACTACATTTCAGAAGTTATCAAGAATGTTATTCACGTGGTTATTGCTGGCATATATGGTACCTGGTACTATATGTCAAATTCCGATCAAGGAGCTCCAAGACATCCAGCTTTATCGTCTTTCAAAAGAGCAATGACTTATTGCTTTGGTTCAATTTGCTTTGGTTCGTTAATTGTAACGATTATACAATTGATTCGACAATTGCTCAATATTATTCGATCACAATTTGTTGATTCTTGGGGAGGACAATGTGTTTTGCTTATCATCAACTTTATTGTGAGCTTTATCAATTGGATAGTGCAATACTTCAACAAGTATGCTTATTCCTTTGTCGCGCTTTACGGTAAGTCCTACATAAGATCAGCAAAGGATACTTTTGACTTGTTCCGATTCAAGGGAATCGATGTATTGGTTAACGATATGTTTATCACCAATGCCTTAAACTTTTACACACTATTTGTCGCTTACTTGTCATCATTATTGGCCTATTTATACTTGAAATTCACAAAACCTGGCTATAACGAAAATGGCGACTACTACGCACCAGTGGTGGCCTTTACATTTTTGATATCAATGCAAATTACTAATATTACATTGAGTGTTATTCAATCGGGTGTTGCTACATTCTTTGTCTGTTTAAGTAAAGATCCAGAAGTGCTACAAATGTCTCAACGAGCAGAATTGTTCAATGAGATTCAAAATAATTACCCAGAGGTTTACCAAAAGATTACAACTGATCATTAAGCACTTTGAACCACTTGTTTGTATTGATATTTAGTGTATAGTATACTACTAGATTAATAGATTATCTATTACCTTACGCTTTAAAGAAGCAGAGAGGGAAAAAAAAAAACTAACAAACAAACAAACTATAATACATACATTAATCGCCATATAGATCTTATCAATTCATATACTCTGTAACCAATGCTTACGCTCGCCATTGGAGATCTATTCATCCCTGAAAGATCTATAGATATACCGCAAAAGTTTAAGAAACTAATAAGTCCCAATCCACAGAATACTCCTTCGAACAGTAAGATATCGAAAGTAGTTTGTTTAGGTAATGTTATTAATTCATTACAGACACTTGAATTTTTGCAAAAGATATCGCCAGATTTTCAGCTTTTGAAAGGTGAGTTTGACGATGCGGCCTTATTATCTCAACAGCTAAAACTTGTTATTGATAGACAACAACAACAACAACAACAACAACAGCAGCAGCAGCAGAAGCAAGAAAAGGAACAAGGTTCAAAACGATATAGTGAAAAGGCCAAGGCTAAAATTCCCATGTACTACAAATTTACTCATGACAATTTGAAAATTGGTTTCACAAATGGATACCAAATCATGCCTAGAGGGGATCCTTTGGCATTGAGTGTATTTGCCAGGGAGTTGGATGTGGATATATTGGTATGGGGTGGTACTCATAGAGTTGAAGTTTATACATTAGATGGTAAATTCTTTGTTAATCCTGGAAGTGCCACCGGTGCATTTAGTTTTGATTGGCCTGAGTTTGACGAGGAGGAGGCAGAGGAGGAGGCAGAGGAGGCGAAGAAAGAGTCCAAGGACGAGAAGCTTAATGAAGCTACGAAAACTACGGATCGGGAAGAGAAAGAAGAGTTGAAGAGAAATGAGTTGAGCAAAGAGGAGCTGACTAAAGAGGAGCTGACTAAAGAGGAGCTGACTAAAGAGGAACTGAACAAAGAGGAACTGACTAAAGAGGAGCTGAACAAAGAGGAACTGACTAAAGAGGAGCTGACTAAAGAGGAAGAAACACTTAGGCAAATATTGTACGAAGTCAATGAACTCAACACATCGATTCCATCATTCTGTTTACTCGACACACAAGACTCAACGTGCATTCTTTACATCTATACTCTATTCAGCAACAAAGTTAAAGTTGATAAAGTTACATACATAAAGGAATAAAAAAAATATACACACATTTTCCTCGAGCAGAGCGAGATAGTGGACCAGCACTGACTAGTGACACTATCGACACTATCTTGCTCTGCTCGATAGTGGACCAGCACTGACTAGTGACACTATCGACACTATCTTGCTCTGCTCGATAGTGGACCAGCACTGACTAGTGACACTATCGACACTATCTTGCTCTGCTCGATAGTGGACCAGCACTGACTAGTGACACTATCGACACTATCTTGCTCTGCTCGATAGTGGACCAGCACTGACTAGTGACACTATCGACACTATCTTGCTCTGCTCGATAGTGGACCAGCACTGACTAGTGACACTATCGACACTATCTTGCTCTCCTCGATAGTGTTCTCAAGCTTGTACTGAAGAATAATGTAATACAAATTCCTTTCTGATCTTTTCCCAATTGTGAGGATCAAAAAAGATATATACTCCCTTCTCCACGTCTTGGCCAATCAACACCGGCTCAATATTACTATCCTTTGTCAACCATACTTGAATATCCTTGTGATACCTCCAATTTCGCGCAACTAGCTCCCTTGCGGCATATTCCTGTAGAGTATCTCTGGGCTTCATATAAAATATATAAAACAATGTCTCATCAGTGAGACTTTGAATCTTTGTTTCTATAGCACCTGGACTCTTACCCTTTTTAGCCAACGTTGAGTTTTGTAAAAAAGTTGGGATTTGAAAAAATGGCTCAACTTCCAGTCGAGACGTTTCCGACCATGGCAGCGCCCAATTCTTCAAAATCTCTACATCCGAATTCAAATCTAATCCACATTTACTTATATCCTGACCTATGGCATAGTTGGTATAATCTGATTGCTCCATTCTCACAAGTGAGGATAGATTCTTTAATCCATATTTGCCAATACTCTCATGATTCAAGGTCGGTAGACTGGTAGAAGATACAGGGGCCGAATCTGCAGAAGAAGCCATCGCTGATGATGATAGAGGATTCATTATACTTGTCGTCGTCGCTATCGATGTGACCATCCCATGAAAAGTATACTTGTTTCACCGCATAAAGTTGAAGCTTTTGGTTATATCACTTTTTTTTTTTCATTTCTTTTTTTTTTCAAGATGGAGTTGTTTATTAGCAAGAGCAATTGGAATAGTTGTTGGCCATGTCACGAAGGTATAAACCGAATGTGATTGTTACAGGTACTCCGGGCTGTGGTAAGTCATCGCATTCGCGATGTTTAGTAGACCAGCTAAACCAGAAGCTATTCAAGGAAGGAACCGTTTATCATTTCCAACATTTCAACATTAGTGAGATTGCTAAAGAGCGTGATTGTATTGAATCCTACGATAAGAAACGGGACACTTCAGTGGTTGACGAAGATAGACTACTTGACACTTTAGAGCCTGATTTGGAAAAAGGTGGAATTGTTATAGATTGGCATTGTTGCGATATTTTTCCTGAACGATTGATTGATTTAGTTATTGTTCTTAGATGCGATAATTCTAAGCTCTATGATCGATTGAAGAAGAGGAATTACAAGGATGCCAAGATTCAGGAAAATTTGGATTGCGAGATTATGGAAGTCATATTGAACGAAGCTAGGGATAGCTATATACCAGATATTGTAATTGAGTTGAAAAGTGATACTGCGGAAGAAATGGATGAGAATGTCGATAGGATTACTTTATGGGTAGAGAATTGGATTAAGGATCATCCCAAAGGGGTTACTAATGAGCTAGAAGGCGGCAAGACTGGGGGGGATGAAGAAGAGGGCTTTAATTCTGAAGAAGAAGATCAAGATGATGACGATGACGAGGATGCTGCATTTAGGTATGATGATGACGAGGCTGATGAGGTTGGTGTTGAAGATGGTCTCGAAGAAGGAGAGAAATATAACCTTGAGAGAGCCGGAGAGGATGAAGAACAAGCTAGGGAAAATGATGAAGAGGAAACAAATGAAGCAGTGGAGCATGCCGAGGATATAGCTCAGTAGAAGAGAATGATGAATAATAAAAGGACTGCCTATTCACTTGTGTTGGAAAGTGTGCTCCACTATCGAGCAACACTCAGTAGTTTGTTATAGTGGAGCAACACTCAGTAGCTTATTACAACACTATCTCGCTCTGCTCGATAGTACCACTGGGTGATAGAAGTTTAAGGGGTAGCGATAAAAAGCCTCTTAATTAAGGAAAAAATTTCATAACAAGTCATAGAAAAGTATACTATACATTACCTAGTAGGTCCTCTCCTTCCACTGCCAGCACCAGCACCACCACCACCAAGTTGATATTTCTTTATAAATAACCAGAAAGTATTCTCTGAGCATATAGAAGCAACAAAACGCACAATACGATAGCCACAGCGTAAGTTCCTTTGGTAAAAGCAAAGTAAGTCCAAGTACCATGAATCTTTTCCAAGTTATACTCTTCCAATTCAACTAAACAACGGACATTTTGTTCAAAAATATATTTACTTTCTTCGATGATTTCCAATTTCTGTTCTTCAGTTAATCCATTCCTCGTGGCTAGTTCATAATCTCTCTTGTAAATCACACGCAACATATCTTCATCAGCAACATCAAATGTAAAGAAATTTGTTCCCAATTTCACAATTTGATCATGAGTCAACCCGTCCTTCTTTGGGTACATTCCTGTTGCTTTTGTAAACGAGGATCTCATTATTCTTCCACCGGCAAACAAAGCAAGATACATCACATGAAAATAAGCAAACAAAAGGTATGGTTTCTCCAGTGTAACCTGCTTTATGTGATTTACAAAGTTGATTTGTTCGACCATTTTAGCATTGATAAATTTAGATTTATTATCATCGTAAAAGAATAAAAGATCTTGTTCTGCTTTAGCCTTACGAGCAATTTCAGGCTTCCAAACTTGCTGGAGCATGATTGACCATTTTGAGTTTGGGTCGTTTTCAAGTTGATTTTGTAAACAGGTTTCGATAGTTGCAAAGACGTGATAAAAGGCCTGTAATCCTTGTCTAAACACCTTGTAGTTGCGTAACGCAATAGCCATTTTCAAAGTGACCATCTTGTCTACTTTATTATGTAATGTTTGAGTTTCTAAATTTATTCTATTTGCCAAAGCACCAACGTCGGTCTTTGTGGGTATTATTTCCTTCTGACTCAATTTGGCGGTTGCCTCTGTGACATTGGGGGTGGGAGTGGGAGTCGTAGTAGTAGTAGCTATCACCGACATTATAAAGACTGCTGTGTAGGACAATAATAATAATCTCTATGGACCAAGATAGAAGATTCAAGAAATCGATCTAGAGTATATCGACAAAAGAGACTATTTCTAAATGAGCTTCAACAAAAGAAACTGTTTCTGAATGAGCTTTTTACAGGGTTACAGAAGGGGGAGGGCTCTTTAACAGAGATATAGCTTGATATTTATACCAAGATTCAAACTCATTTGAAAAAAGGGCTTTTTTGATAACGCTTTCGCAGTTATCGGGTTTTAGAAGAAAAACAAAAACTCTCCATCATTTTATCACTATACCATGTTTACTAGTAATAAGAAAACAAGATTATTTTAGATAAAGTGTAAAGGGGATCAGCATCAACACTATCGAGCAGAGCGAGATAGTGGAGCACAATGACTAGCTACGACGATGACTAGTTACGACGATGACTAGTTACGACAATGACTAGGTACGACGATGACTAGGTACGACGATGACTAGGTACGACAATGACTAGGTACGACACTGTCTCGCTCTGCTCAATAGTGTTGATGCTCGATAGTGGAGCAACACTTTAAAGGTCTCCTCACACAGCAAGAAATTGCCAGAGCATTGCCAAAGAAATTACTTGAGAAAATGTTTAACTAATTGTTTAAAAAGTTGTTTAAAAAATTGTTTATTAGAGATTGCGTATGGGGCTCAATGTTCGCATTTATCGATAAAGAGTGTTTTTGTAATATACGTGTTACAATGCTCATTTTTTTGACTACAATTCTCTTGAAACAAGATACCTTAAAACTTTAAACTAGTCACTATCGACCACAGCGAGATAGTCTATATCTTTAGTCTTTGCTCTCTTTGACTATCGAGCTCAGCGAGATTGTCTATATATCCAGTCTCTGTATAATCTCTACCCTCAAATCTCTCTCGACTAGACTCGAAAAACTTTAAACTAGACACTGTATACTTACTCCCTTAGACCATATCACTTTAACTACACTTGGATTACACTTTGACCACACTTTGACTACACTTTGACTACACTTTGACTACACTTTGACTACACTTGTTATACACTTTGACTACACTTTATATCTCTAGTCTTTGCTTTCTACTTTAGACTTTTTTTTCTACTAGACTCGTTTTGCTCGATAGTCTATATCTCTAGTCTCTGTATAATCTCTACTGTCTAGACTTCCCTCACTCTTTTATTCGACTAGACTCGTTTTCTCGACTCATCTTTCCTAATCAGTGCTGCTCCACTCAATAGTGTTGACTTCGCTACACTATCAAGCAGAGCGAGATAGTGAAGCAACACTCTTGTTTCAACAATATTTACAGTTTTCACACAAGAGCTCTTCTTAAATCTACATAGTTCTTACTCCCTCCGATTAACCTTTCAAGAGCCTTTCGAGACTTTGTATGAAAAGTCTTACATTTAAGCAAAAAGCTTGTTGCTTGCAGCACTATCGAGCAGAGCGAGGTAGTTTTGTAATAAGCTACTGAGTGTTGCTCCACTATCGAGCAGAGCGAGGTAGTTTTGTAATAAGCTACTGGATGTTGCTCGACTATCTCGCTCTGCTCGATAGTGTTGTGCGGATATAAAAACAACTATAATAGGTGGTATTTCCGATAAAACCGCCAAAATCATGAAACCTCCTGAATTTAACAAACTTTGACAAAAACACACACAATCGTGTATGTTCTCACCCTTCCAAAATGTCTTGTCCAATACTTTTTTTTCTTGTAGTTAGTTTACTCAATAAAACGCGTCTCTCTTGTAAGCCGTATTAGTTTCTTAATTTTTTTTTTTGGCTCCTTTTTGTTTGTCTATTTTTTTTTTCATGGCAAGCAACACATGGGTTTGTAACAGAATAGATTGCATTGCTATATCATGAATAATGAACCCTCTGTGAAAAAGCTTGCAGATATTCCCCAAATCGATGAAAGGACACAATATCCAGTTGATCAGACAAAATTTCATAAAAGAGAATTTTACAAAACAAGAGGCTACTATTTGGCTATATACATTGAACCAATTGGTAGTGGTTCCAATAAGGTGATTGTTTACGCAACTGACTTTACGTCAAATAATCAATGCTGTGATGGCGATGATGGAGAGGAGCTAGCATACCAAGCCGTTAACTTAAGACTCACGCGAAAACAAGTTGTAAGATTAGTTGTTCATACAGACAAGTTAAAGATACTTGGTGAACAATATGAGAGCGCCTTTTCAAATTGTAAATTGGATTTTCTCGAGATGCTAGAAGATCCAGATAATTATCATGGGTTTTCGGTTGAAGATAAAGTCATCATCTTTGCTGTAACTACCCAATGGAGATTATATAGAGGAATCTTGGAACCATATACTTATGACCATGAAATTTTGGAATTTAATGACGCGATAGACCAATATTTATCAGTTGTTGGAGATTTATATTGTAATATTATGAAGCAGAACCAGTATGTTTCAAATAACAAGTCATTGATTGAGAAAATCGTGCCATGGAAGTATAGACAGCCACAATCACCTGCTAAACTTCCATCGTCGTATGAATCATCCCAGACACTTAATGTTAATTTCTCATCGAAACAAAAAAATAACGCAAAAACTGATGCTGCTACTACTGCTCCTGCTCCTACTACTCCTACTACTCCTACTCCTCCTACTACTACTCCTACTCCATCTGTAATTAGAAATCCAAAATCCAATGGCGATGTTCCAAAAATGCATACGGATATAGATCTGAGTGAAATTGTTGAAATTGATGACAACACTTCCAACATATCACTCAATTCCCAAATAGTTCCTCAGAAACGAAGTCACGAGGAAGCAAATTCTACATACTACACACTAAAGGATCTACGTAATATGAAAATGGACATTGATAATCAATACTATTCAATCCGTTGTAGAATACTAGGCACTATCCCATCAGATTGGTCTTTGCTTTGCGGTAAGCCAATGGAATCCAGTACAGAACCCTTGGGAGACCCAATAATGCATGAACTTGAGTTGATCTTGAGTGATGTTGACTTATCTTCAAATACATCCAAAATTCACCAAGATAATCTATTATCAGTATACTTCAATGGACCCGAAATCCTTTGGTTTTTAAATTTGGAATGCGTAGAAAAAGCATACATAAGTGCAAAAACGTTACAAGATAATATCGATTTATCAAAGCTCAGTGCCGACTCGGAGTTGGACATAGACGTATACAAGGTCACTCGACGTATCAGTGCTACAAAATCAATCGTAGTCTGGAAAGCCGATTTGAAATATGATAGACTACTTGGTAAGTAGCCCACTACCAAAAAAGTGAAGAGAAAAAGAAAAATGAAAAAAAAACAACCCGGAAAATGAATAAAAGAAGGAAGGAAAGGAAGGCTTCTTCTTCTTCTTCTTCTTCTTTCCATGTTCGTTAGACATTACGCTATTGCAACAAGGGCAAATATCAAAAATGTACCATCGTTAGAAGAATACCTATTTCGAAAACGTGTACGAGAAATCTACCGAACTGTCCTTCGACAAATTTATAAGCATCATGAACGTAACGATCTTATCAAGTTTATTCGTGATGAGTTTAAGATAAACTCAAAAGAAAGCGATTTGCAATATAGGAAATATTTATTGAGTCATGGGTTGAACAAAATCAATCAGATGGGCGCTAGTCTAGGAGTAAATGTGCATTTATAGGAAAACAAACAAACAAACAAACAAACAAACAAACAAACAAACAAAACAAGAAAACAAGAAAACAAGAAAAGAACAAGATGGTTAAAGTTTGTGGGTGCTTTATTTTATTTTATTTTTTTTGTTTCATTTTTCTATAAGTGATTCAAGATGGATTTCGTGGATGAAGTAATTGACTCTTTGATTTCCTTAATCACCGCGTTCGTATCCAACTCCAAGGGCAAATCAACAAACTTCATTTCATCAATAATGTCCAATTGTTTGCTAATCAATGAATTTTTCTTTAAATTATTGGAAATAGATTTAGTCGTGTTTATGATTTCATTTAAATAAGCCAGTGGGGACCTTTTGGCAATCAGTTTTACCAATTTAATCAATTCTACCAAATTCATTAAATTTGTATTCAATTGGTGACTCAAAATCTCCTCATTAGAGGTGAGCATTGATTCAATCTTGCCAAACTTCAAACTCTTTTGAAGGGAATTATATAATGATTGAGACTCGTTTTTGTTTATTTTCGTAGTGGTTAACTTTATGATGTTGTAATACGACTTGAAAATAAATGATGTAAATTGATCCGGTTTGAAATCTGGGGAACTGAGTATTTTATTAAATATTTTCAATAATCGTAGAATCTCAGATTCATCATGTTCAAAAAACATCAGGTATACAAGTAATTTCAACTTTGTGCATGTATCATCAATGGGGATTTGCATAATTTTGTTGGTTTGTGCAGTTTTCAATTCATCAGTTACCAAAAGTGAGCTCCATTCACTTTTCAAATCTCGATTGTCTGACCAATCACCAAAGAGGATACTCTTTCTGTTTTCCTTCAAGTACTTTATGAAGTAATGTAAATATTGCGTATCATCCATTATCAATATCGTTTGTATGATCTTTTGGACGACGGAGTTGAGCGATATAGAGTTTTGCAATTTTTGACCAAACGTAATAAAACTTTGCAATTTAGAATAAACTCCCTTTTCAAATCCATTCTGTATTGTTTCTTTAATTTCATGTTTCGAGGTTAGGTAAAATCTAAAAATATTAATCAAGTCATCTAGTGTTGCTTTAGTTGGAGGACTCACGCTAGTGTAATAGTACCCTAAAGTTTCGTGTTGGACCATATTAATTTTGAGTGCTTTATATATAGACGAAATCATATCATTTGTGTTTAGTTGTGCATACAATTTCATCAACCAGAGATTTAATCTGTAGTTGTACTTGTCTGACTTTAAAAGTTCTACTAAAATGGCAATATTCTTGATGATAGTCGCATATTTAGTAGACGGTGTAACTCTTGAAAGATCGGTAACGATTGAAATCAAAGCAAGTTCATTCAATGGATTATTATCAAATTCAGACTTGCTTCTTACACTTGCTGATGAAAACTGTTTATAAATGTCCCAATTATCTACAATTGGGTTGAACTTTTGATTATTAACCAAGGTAATCACATGTTCGACATCTCTCGACTTGAGATTTAGTATCTCTTTGGACACAGAACTAACCTTTTCCTCAAACTTTCCAGATAAATCGTACCTAGATAAATCGCTATAACAAGATAACTTGTTTTTAAACTTTTCATAATAAGTATCGATTTCACCTGCGGTATCGTGATTAAACAAATTTGCCAATTCAATCTTAACAAGTAATTCATTCCTAGAAGTAGTAGTAGTGGTAGTGTTGGTAGCTAACCTTGAGCTTAATGCCTCGCGAGATTCTCCGACTTGCTTTCCTGAATTGAGCCATAAAATCCAAGTATCGAAATCATCAAAATTCTCCTCAAATAAAAGCCGCGTAGTGTATTCATATAAAGTCTTCCAACTTTTGTTCCTCTTCATTGAATCAAGATATAACAATCGAAGTTCCAAATCTAAAGGGTGATTGAATTTCCCCAAGGTATCTTCGATTGTTCGATAATCCTCATTTAATAACAAAAATCTGGTATATACATATAGTTCCTGACAATTGGCAAAGGGGTGACTCTTTTGTAATTCCTCGATCAATTTTTTGCCAAACATCTTGTACAATTTCAACTTTGACTGTTTTTCACCTTCACCTTTTTCACCCTTTTCACCTTCACCTTTTTCACCCTTTTCACCTTCACCCTTTTCACCCTTTTCACCTTCACTCTTTTCACCCTTTTCACCCTTTTCACCCTTTTCTTCTTCTTTGCTCTGTTGACTAATCATCAAATAAAACAGAAACGCGTACCAATAGCAATACTTTGTCTCCGATTTATTGCTCTTATTCAAGTACAGAAACACCTTATTGAAATGAGCGACATCCAACTGTTGAATCGAATTTTCAAACCAAATCAAACTCAACTCCTCAGCTTGTATTGGATACTTTTTGATAACACTCTCATAACACAAATTAGCTTCTTTCTGCATAGATATGCTTTGGAAAAACTCATTCAAGCTGGTCACAGTATCTATTTCATTTGAACATTTCTGTAACAATTGCAAATTATTGTCAATTGCCTGTTTTTGAGATCCTGTATCATAAAGTATTCTATTCTGAAGCACTCGATAAAAGATCCTTTGAGAAAATTTTTTAATCTTTTGTAACAATAATGACTGCGCATAAGAGTACTGACCACGGTCTATCAACTCTATTATCTCATAATCCGAATCAGACACCATTATCTAGAGCTCCAATTACATGAAAATGTAACGATTCTTCAATTTTTCACTTTTTTTTCAGCTTTATTTTGCAACTTGGCATCAGAACGCTACCAAATGCACCAGATAAAGCTATAAATACTAAAACCATACAAGTTATACAAGACTATAGATTGACGTCGCCAGAAGCCCGTCAGATTTCTCCGGAAGCCCATCAGATTTTGCCAGAAGCCCTCCAGATTTCGCCAGATTTCGCCAGATTTCGCCAGATTTCTCCAGAAGCCCTCTAGATTTCACCAGATTTCACCAGATTTCATCTCTATAAGCTTTTCAATTCCACCTTATAGGTATCAGGATCTTCCACATACTTGTGGTCCTTGATATTGTCACCAGAGATTGCAATATTTTGAAATCCCTGGGGGCCCAAGTTGTACCCTTTGAACTCAGGATCTGCTTCCCAATTGTAAGTCAACTCAATCAATGATTGTAATTTGGTTTGATCCTTGTATTGCATTGTACCTTGCTCAAAGTTGTCGTCATTGTAGTATGCTAAAAAGTATAATGAAAACTTGGCTTCCTTGAAATCCAATTTGTTCACCAATTTCAAACCTAAATCACGATAAAACTTTAATGATTTTTCAACATCAACAACACGGATCATAGTATGGTTAAAACGATACGAGGCAACATTGGTTTCATTCTCTTTCTTGTCAATTCCGTTCTCAATCAATTCGATCCAATAATCATCAAAATCCGATAAGACAAATGCAATATCATGTTGTCTACCTTGACTCAATTTCTTCTTGAATCGAACTCCCTGTAACAAGAATTTCTTTTCGGCAGCTTCAATATTATCAACCGATACACAAACGTGACCAAATCCTCTATTGGTTTCACCGTTACCATTATTGATCTCAGTATCACCCTTGTATACTAGCTCCAAAACCCCCTCCCTCTCATAAACCTCTTTACCATTGTCTTGAGGTTGAGGATACGCCAAGAAAAAGGAAATAGATCCTTGATTTTCATCAGTTTTAAGTAAGGTCATCCCCAACTTGTGGGTCCAAAAATCAACAGATTTTGGATCCTTGGTTCTAAGACACGTGCGATTAACGATATAGCTGTTGTTAGCCTCAACCATGATAAAAACAAGCACTAATTGTCAAGTTACTTTCAATAATCAAAGGGGAAGGGAAAAGGGCACTACAAATAAAGAAAAGAGCACAAATAAAGAAAAAAGCACTACTTTTTCATCATCTTAAGCCAGCGCCGAAATCAGCTCCTTTTCTATTTATTTTTTTATTTTTGTGGAGATCAAAATGGAAAGAAATAGGAGATTTGCTCCCTAGTGTCTACAAAGTGTTGCTCCACTATCGAGCTCCACTATCGAGCCCCACTATCGAGCAGAGCGAGATAGTGTCTACTCGATGGTGTCTACAAAGCGCTACTCGACTATCTCGCTCTGCTCGATAGTGGGAGCTCGATAGTGGGAGCTCGATAGTGTCTACTCGATGGTGTCTACAAAGTGCTACTCCACTATCTCGCTCTGCTCGATAGTGGAGCTAGTGTTTCTCGATAGTGAAGCTAGTGTTTCTCGATAGTAAAGCTCATACATTCTCCTCCCGTCATGCATGACAACAGCAATAAACATGTTATCGAAGTTGCACGACATCTATGAAAAATTGTTTGGGGGAATCTTTAGCGCATATTGCTGAGATGAGCTATCTCACGTGACGTGACTCATTGGCTTGAGTCGTTTAATTTTTTTTTCTTTGGCTATTGTCGTAAGTCTGGGGAAGGTAGCGTCTAATCACGTGCCCATCTTTCAATTTTTCAATTTTTTTCTTTTTTTTCCAGTTGATTTCATCACTATTTGGGATTCGATTATATTGGGTGCAACATCGCTGAGTCGGAAAGTTTTCATGCAAGTTTTCTTTTCATTTCAACAGGCCTTTATCGAAGCAAGCTTATTTCCCAACAATTGAGTAAGTATGTTTAGATCGGTTCGAGCTTTTTCAATTAGCAGTATTAAACGATCTTCATATGATCAATGTACACGGAACACAATATCTCATATTCACAAACAGTATATCGAGAAAAAACCGATTTCAATGATGACATGTTATGATTACCTCACGTCTCAAATGAATGAACGAGCAGGGATAGATATTTCTTTAGTAGGGGACTCCTTGGCAAATACATCGTTGGGATATCGAGATACAAATGAATTGAATTTGGATGAAATGCTTTATCATATTAGATCAGTGCAACGAGGTAATAGCCAATCCTTTTTGGTTGCTGATATGCCATTCGGATCTTTTGAAACCTCAAAGGAACAAGCTGCCACAACAGCAATACACATGGTTAAAGCAGGAGCTCAGGCAGTCAAGATAGAAGGAGGCAATGATGAAATTATCCAAACTATAAAGAAGATTATTTCTGTAGGTATACCAGTAATGGGTCATTTGGGGTTAACACCTCAAAAGCATAATGCAATGGGAGGGTACAAACTTCAAGGATCAGATGTAGAAAGCGCTAAAAGAATCTATCAAGAAGCACACAAATTACAAGATATCGGAGTTTTTTCGATAGTTATTGAATGCGTTCCTACCCAACTAGCAAGGATAATCACAAACTCGTTGAGTATCCCTACGATTGGTATTGGTGCTGGAAACTATACTTCGGGACAAGTCTTGGTGATGGCCGATATTTTGGGAATGCTGCCCCAACCAGTACCGAGATTTGCCGAAAAGTATATTGATTTTTTCAACCTCGGTGTAGATGCATTGAAGAGATATAATGATAATGTTAAAACAGGAGTGTTCCCGTCCCCGGAACATGGATATAAAATTAAGAGAGACGTTTTAGAAGAGATTAAAAACAGTCTTGGCTCATAGCAGTTAATAGAAACTTCATTTTGGTCTTGTATTATATCCATTCACTAGGGTGACTCTAGGCCTTCTCTACGCACACGTTTTGTCATCAACAAAAATATAAAAAAAAATAAAAATAAAAACCGGATGAAAAATTAAATCCGAAACCTCATCGCCCATATGTATATATTTTTTTTTCCACGACCCCTTATCGAATCGAACAAACTATACAAACCTAGGCTCAATAACCAATGACAGTAAATAATATAGTCCGTGTATTTGTAGTACGACACGGCCAAACCGACCATAATGTTCAAAAAATACTTCAAGGTCAGCTTGACACTCCAATGAATTCTCAAGGTTATGCTCAAGCAGAATTACTTGGTTCTAGATTCATTTCAACACCAATAAACCATTTTGTCACATCGGACCTTTGTCGATGTCAAGAAACACTTGAGCAAATAACAAAACACCACACTTCTCCACTGATTAAGATTACTCGAAATTTGAGAGAAAGAAATATGGGAAAAGTACAGGGTATGTATCTTAAAGATGCGCAAGCTCAATATGGACCAGGATTTAGAAATTTCGGTGAGGGAGAAGAATCGTTATGTAAAAGGGTTGAAACTGAGTTTAATGAAATCATTAATGGAAATCATCAATATGTGTTGATTTGTACTCATGGAGGTGTAATTACTCGGTTTTTTAATCATCTATTCCGTGATTTAAATTATCAATTAGCCGATGGATTGACTGAGAAGGATTTAAGAGTGCCTTTTAATACTTCGGTTTCTATTGTGGACTATAATAGACAAACTGGAAAGGGGATTATCCAATCTTTTGGCAATACTCTGCACCTCGGTGGTGATTTCAAAGTGGAAGATCAATTATTGAGGTAGGTAGGTAGAATAGTGTTTTAAATTAGAGCAAACGATAGTTATTGATAATAATAGTAACAGATTTCCAATAAATATATGTATAAAATGCAAAGTCTATAATAAAAAACTAAAGAAAATAACCAAAAAAAAAAGACACCAAAAAAATCAAAAAGAAGAATCAATTCGTTTGAAACTAAACCAATCTCTTCATATTGTCTATAGTACCAGATCTTGAAAATGAGGCGTACCTTTGGAATGGATCATCTCTCTCCAATTCATATTCGGGATTCTTGGCCTTCTTTGAAATTCTCTTTCTAGAAAATACTCGTTTAGCCCATTTCCATGCTTCAGCTCCTAGCAAAAACAAAACAGTGCATCCAAAGGCAACTCCCCATTCCCATGATATTCCTTTGTGTAAGAAAACTTTTGTATTAATAACAGGGATATAAACCACTGGGAACACGGTAACAAATCCTCCAAGAACTGACCAAAACAAAAATTGATTTGACCAAAGATCAATTGCTGTTTGTTTCCACCATGGATTATCCGTTTCTTGTCTCATGTAAAAGAGCGAGTTGGATTCGTGAATACATTCCCATGCCAAGATCAATGCACACCATGTCATATTAGCAAATGAGGCCGATCTACCTCTAAATACTAAATCACAAACGTCAGTATTTGCATCCATTGAATTACAATCATACCCTAAATCTCCATTGCCGTGTCCGTAAACAATAACCACAAAACACAACAAACACGAACATGCCATCCAAAAACCATAAGCTAACATATCAATAATAACTTCTGTAGTAAAAATTTGATTGTTTGGTGGCTTTTCTAATATATCATCACTAGCTCGTTCTTGTCCCAATCCCATTGCTGGAAAACACGATGTAACAACCAAAATCCACAATACTTCAACGGGCGATAAGGGGAAAACTGAAAATCCAGTCTCATCCATAAATGCTAAACCAATCATCAAGTATAATGCTTGAGCAACATTTTCTGCCAATAATTGCAAAACAAACTTTTGGATATTTGCAGACATTCGTCTACCTTCTTCAATTGCATTTAAAATCGAAGCGAAATTATCATCAGTTAAAACGATATCTGAAGCATCTTTTGCAACATCCGAACCGTTTAAACCCATAGCAATACCAACATCAGCTTTTTTCAACGATGGAGAATCATTGACTCCATCACCCGTCATTGCTGCAAATTTCTTTCTTCTATGCAATGCATCAATCATACGCACTTTAGTCTGTGGTGCACAACGAGCAATGACTAAAGGTAAAACAGGCAAGTTGTCAATTTCTTCATCTGACAACACATCAAATTCACTAGCTGTCATAACCATTACCTTAACAACATCTTTGCTGTAGTGGTACAAATTTGATGGTAATATACCAACTTCTTGAGCAATTGCCTTTGCAGTTCCAGGATGATCACCAGTAAGCATATGAACGTTAATACCTGCCTTGTGACATAATTTAACTGACCCCGCAGTTTCAACTCTTGGTGGATCATAAATACCAACCAAACCGAGAAATGTCAAATGCTGTTCAACCTCGTCTCGGTTTTCATATTCAAGATTATTTTCATCCAATGTTCTGGTAGCAAAAGCCAAGACTCTTAAACCTTGTGACGATAAGGCTGCCGTATTTTCTTCTATTAATTGGATATCTTGTTGCGTGAAATCCTTCAATTCCTGAGAATCATCAGTGCCTTCTCCATACCAATAATCACACAAAGGCAAAATCCTTTCAACCGCACCTTTTGTGTAAACTGTAGTAACTCCAGTTGCTTTATCTTTGTAAACTGCAGACATTCTTTTAATAGATGAATCAAATGGAAATTCATCTAAATGTTCAAAGTTGCCAACCAATGTATCTCTTCCATAATTCAATCTTGTTGTGAAAACTTGAATTGCAATTTCGGTTGCATCTCCATGAGCCTTCCAAACTAGTTCCCCACTTTCTTCATCCTTACTTTGATTAACAGTTGCAATATTAGCAAGTGTAGCAGTCAATAGCCATTGATCCATAATCTTTGGCATTGGGTCATTGGGATAAGGTTTATTAAAATCAATTTCTTCATCAGTCTCCTTTATGAAATATGGTGAATAAGGAGCAAACTTGACATCACCAATAGTTGGATTATATGGTTCATTTGAATTTTGAACATCTAAAGTACCAAGATTTGGTAGCCAAACTTTTTTCGCAATCATTTTACCTTGCGTTAAAGTACCAGTTTTATCAGAACAAATATCATTTATGCCTCCCAATGCTTCTAGCGAATCTAATTTACGAACAATAACATGCTTTGAAACCATAACTTGCGCACCAACAGCCATTGTTATAGTCAATACAACAATAAGTGCCGATGGAATCATTGATAAAGCAACGCAAATAGCATAAATGGCCACTTCCTTGTTAACAATCATCTTTTGAGAGCCCATCACAACGATTGCAAAAATCACTGCAACCCAGAATAAAAATATAGCTAACCAAGACAATTTTCTTTGTAATGGTGTACCAACAGTGATACCAAGTACATTTCCAATAATGTCATAAATTGTTCCGAAAAACGCTCTACCATATTCTCTCTTTTTCGGTTTACCATTTGATTTATCAACTTTTCGAATAATTCCTATATTGCCTCTTAGAGATTGTGCAATTTTCCCGATTTCAGTATCTAAGCCAGTTCCATAAGCTATACCAGTACCTCTTCCCTTTGAGACGATTGAAGACGAATAAACTAGGTTTAATCGATCGCCAACTGGGATATCTACAGAATAGTCATTATAAACAATTTCCGAATTTTTTTGTACTGGTAGTGATTCTCCAGTTAATAAAGCTTCATCGGTTTCTAGATTCATTGAATCAATTAATCGTAAATCCGCTGGCACGGTATCTCCAACTTTAATATGAACAATATCACCAGGAACAACTTGTTCTGCTGGCACGGTAAAATCGTCACCATTTCGAGTAACTCTAGCAGTTGGTGAAGACAAATTGCGCAAAGAGCCCATAGTCTTTTCCGCTTTTACTTCTTGAACAAATCCAACAACTATATTGATTCCAACTACAAATCCAATCACACCTCCTGAAATCCAATCTTTGATAGCAAGTGCTATAATCATGCTTATAATAAGCACTAAAATCATTGCATTGAACACTTGATGAGCCAATATTTTAGTATATGAGATTTTGGCATCGTCACCTAGCGAATTTGCACCATATTGTTGGAATCTGTCATTTGCTTCATGCTCGCTTAAACCGTCAATTAGACTTGTACTAAAGTGTTTGGCAACATCTTCAATGGTCTGGCGATAATAGAGGTTTGTAGACAACAAGTCATTTCTTGATTGTGTGCTTTTCTTAGCTTCAGATGTTGATTCAAAAGATGAGGATTGCTCTTGATTCTCCATTACTGATATTTCAGAAAATGTCGATTCAGTATTTGTCCGTTTCTTAGCTTCAGCTTCAATCGAATTGGATTCTTTATCGCTAGACATTGAATAGATTATTACTTGGTATAGTTTAGTAAAAAAATGTGCTTGAGCTATTTTAGCTGTATGTCAATGCGATTTAGGTATAACACACTTCCCCTCCTCAAATTACTGAGTATAAATGAACAATCAAGTTTATAAATGATTAATAGTTAAAAAAAAAAAAGGTCCTTAATATACAAAAGTGGTACCAGTAGTAGTAATATACTTATTAACCTCCTAACTTAAAAAGTGCACTTTGCTTTACATATGGATAGAAGAAAGAGAGATATAAAAAGAAAGGGATTTTAGATAGATTAACTTTTGGTTGTAAAATGGCAAGGAGATTTGCTGCTCTATTTATACCTCAACTTTGGCTGCAATCTTTTTTCTTTTTTTCTTTTGGCAGATTGTACCTGGCACATATGCCATTATTATCACCCTCACCCCCGTTACTAATGCGTGCGCCCCGTGCAACTAAATTAATAAACTTCTTTATCGGTGATTGCTTGGGAGCTTATTAGGCGTTTTATTCCATTTTAGCAGCCAAACACTTGGTCGTGTACTTTGGCTAATGGTTTATGTTGTCGTAAATATTATTTTAATTTTTTTTTTTAATAATAATAATAATAAAAATAATAAAAATTACTACAAAACATACACACGAGGTCACATGACACAGCCTCGTAGCAAGGCTGTAACATTAGAGGGGGGGAAAAAAGAAAAACTAGACTTACATTGTGGGATATATGATCTTGATTTAGTCACGTTTTTGTGATTACAGCACAAAAAGAAGATGGTCTCAATCTACTTGGTCTCCGTTGAACTTCTCATCCCACGCCCCTCTCAGGCGAAACTGATAAATTTATAGTGGAAAAATTACAACTGATAAATTACAACTGATAAATTTATAGTGCAAAATCACAACTCAAAGATTCTAGATATTTTTTCTTAGCAGAGGCCAAGAAATCAGATTCTATAAAAACCAAGAAACTAAGAAAATTAATATGCAGTGATTAAATAAATGCATTATTACAACATATATTTGCTATCGATATCAGAGCCAACCTCCCGCTAGTGGGGCCCGAATAGAGTTCCCGCCGGCAGACTCCAGCCGACACACAAGCATCTTTTCTCCCCTTCCAGATAAACACACACACACCCCTTATCTGCTCCGCGACCCCATCCTTATCTTCTCCACTTGAACCATATCAAGCAAAAAAAAAAAAAAAAGGAGTGGTGGGAAAAAAAACCACATCAAGTAAAAAAAAAGAAGGAATGGTTTCCCATCACTCCTTTTTATTTATTTTAATATGTTGTGATAAATCCGGAGCAACAGCCCCGGTGAATCTTCACCAGCATGAAAGGAAGTGAGAAACAAAGTGTAAAGTTTTTTTTAGTTAGTTTTGCAAAAATAAAATGGATCAACTTCATTGGTCAATCTCTCGTTATCATAAATTGATAGATTGATTGATTGCAAAGCTGGACATTGCTAGTTTGTCAATAGCTCAACTTTTCTTGGTCATAAATTGATAGATTGCAAAGCTGGACATTGCTAGTTTGTCAATGGTGCATGCCATTTCTTTTCAGCTTTTTTTGTAGATATTGCTAGATTGTTAACGGCTCAACTTTTCTTGGTCAATCTCACGTTATCATTAAAAAGTGATAAATTGATAGAATGCAAAGCTGGACATTGCAGATGGTGCATGCCATTTCTTACTTATTTCAACTTTTCCTGTAGATATTGCCATTTCGTCAACGGTGCATGTCATTTCTTACTTGTTTCAACTTTTCTTGTAGATATTACTAGTTTGTTAACGGCTCAATATTTCTTGGTATATCCATCTTGTAACTCTGAGACAATAGTAAAAATAAGGTTCCACTAAAGTTATTTTTTGATCACGTGCCTTTCATGAGACTATCGACACGACACTATCGACACGACACTATCGAGCGACACTATCGAGCGAAGCGAGATAGTGGAGCACATTAGCAACACTCTCCTCAGTCTATCGACACTATCGAGCAAAGCGAGATAGTGGAATCGAGCAAAGCGAGATAGTGGAATCGAGCAAAGCGAGATAGTGGAATCGAGCAAAGCGAGATAGTGGAATCGAGCAAAGCGAGATAGTGGAATCGAGCAAAGCGAGATAGTGGAATCGAGCAAAGCGAGATAGTGGAGCACATTAGCAACTTTCTCCTTAGACTCTCTCACAATGGTCTATATTTACTCTCTCCTCAGGCTCTCTCACTTTGCTCGATGGTCTATATCTACTCTCTCCTCAGACTATCTCGCTTTGCTCGATGGTCTATATCTACTCTCTCATCAAACTATCTCGCTTTGCTCTATAGTCAATATCTACTCTATTCTCTCCATCTACTCTATATATAGATACATCACTACCAACAACTCTACCTCTACACTAGTGAGCAAACCGAGATAGTATATATCTGTACACTCTATCTATCTATCTCTATCGACTAGTCTCTTTCTCTTTCAATTAGTCTCTATCTACTGTTTTTCTACGACTGACTCATTCACTCGTCTAGTCTCTCTATCTACTCTTTTGATTAGTCTATCTACTCTTTCGATTAGTCTCTATCTACTCTTTTTTTACGACTAATCTCATTCACTCGTCTAGTCTCTCTATCTACTCTTTCTCCAAGACTAAACTCGTTTCACTCTTCTAGTCTCTCTATCTACTCGTTTCACTCTTCTAGTCTCATTCCCCCCCCCCCCCCCCCCCGTGGTTGTTTTCATATTTGCAGTCGTTTACAAGTTATTTCTTGGTAAAGCATTTTAAAAGTTCCAATATTATGTGCATTTTCGTGTACTTGTTGCGAAAAGCTGCAACCACAATATATTATTCACGTCATCTACAGTAAACCCAGGCTCGGCGCAACTAAATTGCAATAAACTTGATTGCACCACCCGGATTCTTCTTTATTGGAGTTGTTAGTTTGAAACAACTTTTCTTCACACTTTTTACTAATTAACTAATGTTTGATAGAAAAAAAAGGTCGTCTGAATTTAGTGATTATAAACACCACCTTTTTATTAATTGATAATAAAATTCAATTTGACAAATTCGGTAAAAAGCGTTTTTTTTCTGACGACACCTATCGACCAGAGCGGGATAGTGGACCTCATTGACTAGCTGTCACCGACATATCACATGACTGGAAAAAAAAGATTAATTCTTGCGCACCCCATTCCCTCAAAAGTTAATAGTATCTCCCACCACGAATCTACGAAATTCCATTTTGCTTAACTGGAATACATTTCGAGTATCTTCTAATAAAAAGAGCCATGACATCTATAGTTATAGCTTCTTTAATTATAGCGTCATTAGTGACATAGCTTCTTTAGCAGGTGACTAAAATCATTTGATTATGTACCATGACCTATTGCTTACCCCTGAAGTATCGTGTTGCCATCGTCTAGTGGAAACTGGTCGTGCACCACCACCCAATGATTCTTGATGGAAATTTCTATAAGAAGAGCAAGATAATCCACCAGATGAAAACCAACACAATAAACCTACTTTTCTTTTCTTTTCTTTTTGTCCATGCTAAGACTAGTTTCGCGCTCTTTTTCCCCATATATTACAACAAGAATCCCAATTACCCGCAAAATCTCATCGTCAAATATGTATGCTGCCCAAAGTAAGATAAAAGTTCAAAAATTGATCAAAGAAAAACCAATTCTCATTTTCTCAAAAACTTTTTGCCCATACTGTACACAAACAAAACATACAATTGAAGGGATCACCAAGGATGCTTACATTCTCGAGTTAGACGATTTGGGAGATGGTCAAGATATTCAAGAAACCTTGGCTGAATTGACAGGACAAAACACCGTCCCAAGCGTCTTCATTGGTGGCGAACACATTGGTGGCAACTCCGATGTTCAAACCTTGAACGAGCAAGGTAAATTGGCAGAAAAGATCAGAGCCGTGTCATAAGCGGCGTTCTTTAACATATATATACATATATATATATATATATATTAGTATATAGATAGATAATTTTCTATAGTAGAGGTTTTTCCTATTTAGGCACTAATTAAATTTTTATATAAAGAACCAAAAAAAAAAAAAAAAAAAAACTTCAACTTTCAAACCTTAAAAAAACTAAACTTTTCAAAGAAGAACTCTTCTTCTTCTGGTGGAAGTAGTTTTTTGTTTTTCTAGTAGTCTCTGTTTCCTTTTTTTTTTTTGTGTGTGTGTGTCCATCTTTTTTTTTCTTTGTCATGACGACGGTTAATCTGAGAGTTAGACAAGCTGTTCCAAATATCGATTCAGTGGTTTCTGACTATGCTGTTGGGTATATTCAGCATGTTTCAGATGCCACCGAGGACAGTGTACGTGCTCAAAGAATAAACATTGCCCAGGAAATGTCCTTTTTAGCAAATTTGTTGATTCTGGCTGGTGGGTCTAACGATAAGGTCAAAGGCTTAACCGATCTGATAGCTCAAGAGTTAACCAGCAAGCTTCAAAAAAATATTGAGAAATTGGCTCTTACAGGTGATACATCAAAGAGACTATTGGATATAAATGTTCTACAGAATAATAGTAAAAGAGATATAAACTCTTCATTAGCTTTGTTGTCAGCTAGTAACAACATTGAGCATACAGGTAGAGTCATGGAAACACGAGTCGACAAGAAGAAATTGGAAAAACAAGAAAGGAAAATCGCAAAGAAGGTGGCTAAACGTAACAACAAGTTTGTCAAATATGAAGCATCGAAATTGTTAAATGAAAAGCAAAAGGAAGATTATGATTCATTTTTCCTTGAAATCAACCCCTTGGATTTTGGTTCAAGTGCTGGAAAATCAAAAGATATCAAGATTGATAATTTCGATCTATATGTTGGTGATGGTCAAAGAATCTTAAGCGAGGCATCGCTAACTTTGGCTTATGGTAGAAGATATGGTCTTGTTGGTCAAAATGGTATAGGTAAATCCACATTATTGAGAGCTCTTTCAAGAAGAGAATTGAACATCCCAAAACACATTACCATTTTACATGTTGAACAAGAAATTCGAGGTGATGATACACCAGCTCTACAAAGTGTTCTTGATGCTGACGTTTGGAGAAAAAGTCTATTACAAGAAGAACAAAAAATAAATGACCGTATTACTGAGATTGAAAACTTGAGAAAAGAATTTGATGAAGATTCGTTAGAGGTGAGGAAATTGGATAATGAAAGAGACGATTTAGAAAACCATTTACAAGAAATTGGCGATAAACTAAACGAAATGGAATCAGACAAAGCTGAAAGTAAAGCTGCTGCTATATTGTACGGTTTAGGATTTACCAAGGAAACCCAAAATACCGCAACAAAATTATTTTCAGGTGGTTGGAGAATGAGATTATCTTTAGCTAGAGCGTTATTCTGTCAGCCTGATCTTTTGTTACTAGATGAACCGTCGAATATGTTGGATGTTCCATCAATAACATTTTTGGCTAATTATTTACAAAGTTATAAATCAACAGTCTTGGTGGTATCGCACGATCGTGCATTCCTTAATGAAGTTGCAACTGATATCATACATCAACACTCGGAAAGATTGGATTATTATCGAGGTTCCAATTTCGATTCCTTTTATGCTACGCGTGAAGAAAGGATCAAGAACCAACGTAGAGAGTATGAAAGTCAAATGGCATATAGACAGCACTTGCAAGAGTTTATTGATAAGTTTAGATACAATGCTGCAAGAGCACAAGAAGCACAATCTCGTATTAAAAAATTGGAAAAGCTTCCTATTTTGGAGCCACCTGAAGATGACAAAGTAGTCACTTTTAAATTTGCAAATCCAGATGGTATATCACCGCCAATTTTGCAATTGCAAGATGTGACATTTGGTTATGATCCAAATAAGATTTTGTTTAAAGATGTTAATCTCGACGTTCAAATGGACTCAAGAATAGCGTTTTGTGGTGGTAATGGTACTGGTAAAACCACGCTTCTTAAACTTATAATGGGCCACATTTCTCCCTTGAGCGGATATGTTAACAAAAATGGTAGATTACGAATTGGGTATTTTGCACAACATCATGTTGATGCCATGGATTTGTCACTTTCGGCAGTATCATGGATGAGTAGTACATTCCCGGGGAAAACAGATGAAGAGTTTCGACGTCATTTGGGATCTTTTGGTATTACTGGTGCATTAGGTTTACAGAAAATGGCACTTTTATCGGGAGGTCAGAAATCAAGAGTAGCATTTGCTGCTTTATGTATGAATCAACCTCATATTCTCATATTGGATGAACCTTCAAATCACTTGGATACCCAGGGTTTGGATGCATTAGCCGAGGCAATGAACAATTTCCAAGGTGGTATTTTGATGGTGTCACACGATGTTTCAATAATTGATAGAGTATGTAATGAGATTTGGGTCGCGGAAAATGATACAGTTTCTAAATTCCCAGGCAACATTCACGCTTACAAAAAACATATTTTGGAATCGGCCAACATTGCCGGTGTTGTTAAAAGGCATTAATAGAGGAACAAAATAGTTCTATAGAGTAAAGTAGTTACACTCGACACTATCGAGCAGAGCGAGGTAGTGGAGCAATACTAGCTGCCACTGACAACACTTCCTGTCCTTTTTGCTCCTGCTCTCTCTGCTCCTGCTCGGTCTTTTGCTCATCGCAATATTTATTCCCCTTCTCTTTTTATAACCGAAAAGGTCTCCATAATTAGTTGAGCTAAAAAAAAAAAAAAAAAACAAGATGAAAAGTCCATTACAGATAACAAAGAACTAGAGTTAGATTTACGGGTCTTTTTCTTGTTTCCACCACAATGAGCATTCTTGGCTCGATAGGTCTTAAATCCAAGATAAGTATATGCTTGCTATCGCTTTATACTTCATATGAAGTATATATGCTGGTGCAAACACACTATCTTATCAAGTCAAGAAGGGAGGAGTATCAAGATTCCGTCAATGCTAATAGTTTAAGTTCAGGAACAGGCGCCGATTTAGAGTATCTTAGATTTAAATCTGCAACTATTTCAGGGATGTTTGTTAACCCATTTAAAGAGTATCGACCACAAACGGCATTTGAATTTGTTCTTGTTCGAATAATGGAGTTTTTCGAGCTGATATATGGAAGTAGATTTGAGCTACATAACAAGTTACCACAACCTCATGATGGTGCTGTTGAAGTTGAAGATATCTTGAAAGTGTTGAAGCCCAATATAGAAAAGTATCGAGCCAATTCGAAAATCTTACAGTTGTGTTTGGAGAATAACAATTTCCAGCAATTTTTCAATCAAGATGGTGGCAATGGTTGGCTTTTAAAAGGGAAATCATCGTTGCGCAACCAACTTTTATTCACTTGGCTAGGTCAATCGTGTACACTTTTCCAAATATCAGGCATTAACTTTCTCACCGATCCAATCATGAGCGATCATCTATTCAGTCCATCTTTTGGACCAAAAAGATTAACCAAGTCCCCCTTATCTTGGGAAGATATTCAATATGCAACAAATAATAACTTAAACTTTGTTCTTGTATCTCACGACCACCCCGACCACTTGGAGATGAGTCTTGTTAATAAGATAAGAAATGAAAGCTACTGGATAGTGCCATTAGGATTGAAGAAAAAACTAGCTAAAAGAGGTATCCATAAAGTGGTTGAACTCGATTGGTGGGATACTTTGGATATAACAAATTACATTACTACAAATAGAAAATTTCCTGATAAATACGAAATTGTTTGTGTACCATCGATGCATTGGTCAGGGAGGCACGTGACCGACTCTAACAAATCACTTTGGTGCTCATATATAGTAAGGCGCAATGGGGAATCCTTAGTTTACCATGCAGGAGATACAGGATACCTGGAAGAACTATTCAATGTCATTGGCGCAAAATATCAACCTGTAACACTAGCATTATTGCCAATTGGTCAATATTGTCCAAGCTGGCACCAAAAGCCAAGACACATTTCTCCACAGGAATCTTTGAAAATTTGTCAGCAGATATCAGCATTATTCATGAAGGGGATCCATTGGGGTACATTCAAATTAAGCGGAGAACCAATACTAGAACCGAAAAACTTGCTAACTGCTCTTGCAAAGTCTCTGAACAAGTCAGCTTTCTACAAAGCGCCCGAATTCGGGTTGACTTATTTAATTGACCTCAATAGTAAAAAGGAAATAGAGTTACATACATAAGTATAGAGAGAAAATAAAAAACCAAAAACCATACAAAAAGAAAAAAAAAAATCGATAAAAACAGCTATGTTTTTCATATATACAAGGGGTTATTCTCAAAATCGTTGTCTCCCGTTTTACTCTTTTACTATCTGTAAACAGCACAGTTGGGTTTGCCCTTTACTCTCTGTAGAGAGCACAGTTGGGTTTGCCCTTTACTCTCTGTAGAGAGCACAGTTGGGTTTGCCCTTTACTCTCTGTAGACAGCAGTTGGGTTTGCCCTTTACTCTCTGTAGACAGCAGTTGGGTTTGCCCTTTACTCTCTGTAGACAGCAGTTGGGTTTGCCCTTTACTCTCTGTAGACAGCAGTTGGGTTTGCCCTTTACTCTCTGTAGACAGCAGTTGGGTTTGCCCTTTACTCTCTGTAGACAGCAGTTAGTTTTGCCCTTTGTGCTGACATCATTTTCCTCTGAAACGACTGATATTCTGAATCTGACCTTATCACCGACCCTATAGACATGAAAAGCCCAAAAGTACCAACCGACCCCAAGATATACTGACCCAACGTCCTCATAACTCCATTTGGCCCAGCGCCATTTTGAATAATGGAAAATCCTCCAAATAAGACTCCAACACAAACACCTACTGTCGACCCCATTATAGCACCCATTTTGAACTTATCCCAATTAGATGGCTGATGGCCCACATACTGATACTGTTGTACTGGTGGCATTCTCTTCTGTTCCAAAAGCTAATACTCCCTAACAAACCACTGGTCTCAATAGACTAGCCTTTGACCTGGCTGAACACACCACCTTACCATTTTTTTTTTCATCGCTGACAGAAAAAAAAATTAAAGTATCCAATAAAAATGTGCACGACCCATCTACATCAGATTTGCTTTACATCGAGTTCAACCAACTGAGAAATCATGGGATCCACTACTTCGAAACCAGAGACTAAAGTATTCACGCCTGAAACTCCCATAGAGTTCAGCTCGTCGTTTCTTGCCCAATTGGAGCAATCTCCAGAGGTACGTTTGAACTTTTGAACTCATTTTTATTTTTTTTATTTTTAAGTTTGGAGGATTTTTCTAACCTGAGCTATTCACTTTGCGTAGTCTGATTATTCTCGAGCACAGTATGCTGAAAAGTATATCCAGGAGAGAGTGGCTAAAGAGCTAACAAAGTTGGAAAGGGAAGCAATGGACAAGTTTAGAGCCACCACTAATGAGGCGTTGTCAAGGGCCAGTTCTTCCCCCACCAATTCTACGCCAGAAATTTCAGTACAGGCAACTAATGAAAAAATTGCTAAACTCACCCAATTGTTGAAAGAGAATGCCGAATTAGAAAAAGTTGATATATCGCCCGAAATCAAAGAGTCAAGAGAAAATGTCATCAACTGCTTGAAATCCAATCAGGGGAAAAGTTTGAATTGTTGGGATCAAGTTGAAACTTTTAACAAATTAGTCAGGGAGTTATAAAACTATAATCCTAAGCCTTTATAAATAAGTAGTAATGCAGAGTCACTTTCCCCGCCTCCTGCTAAAGTTTCTATCTTCTCTCGTGCAACAGAACTCACTTTATCATCGTTGAAAAGCCACCAGCTTTCTCCGCTGAGGTCATTGGCATCTTTAACATACGCCTTGTAGTGACCGCCATCAGCACTTGCACCCATATGGGTAATAATGGCATTGAGCTCATACACAGAAGACGGATTCTCTGTAGTTGTTTCGAAATCAATTCCGGGAATATTACTCTTTAAATCATCGTAAAATCTACTCTTTATTGAAGCAATTTTCATCTCTTCATCTTCATCCGACTCCCTTTTCGCCTTCTTCAACTCCCTCTTCAAGTCTAAATTATCCTTTTCTACTTTTCTAATCAAATCACGGTTCTTGTTTTTGGTCTCCTTGATTGATTCATCCAATACATCAGACAAGTCCAATTCAAATGGGAATTGAACCCTTCTTAAAATTTTTGACTTCTTATTGATATCCCTCCTCCAAAAAAATCTTATGAAATGAACAACTAAAAATTTGGGCAACCGAGTAATTGTTTTGGAAACTTCATACTCATTGTCTCCACCTGTGCTACTGTTATGTTTCACTATATTCTCGGTCAAGCCACTGATTATACCGTCACGAAGAAAATTGGTCTTGATATCAATATGACAGTTCAATTTGAAGCTCTCCTCAACGTCATACTTTATATCATCATCACTACCGGTAGTTAAGTTCTTGACTCTAGTTTTAAGCCCAATTCGAAACAAATCGTCAATTTCCAAATTCCTCTTTAAAGTGGTCAAAATTTGAGAAAACGCTTCTTCAGCATCTTGTTGACTAAACACCCCGTTTTTTTGCTCGGCAAATTGAGGGTAAAGACTCCGGAAAATGGTTAAAAACATGCCTACATTAACAGTTCCTTGTTTCCTTTCCATTTGCTGGAAAAGATTCCTCAAGGCCAACGTCAAATTTTCCCTTCCGTTGAACTTGTTCAATTTCTCCCTCAAATCCTCAATTTGAAACAAGGCTTGTAAACTCGAGTTCAAATAGCACGTATTGCCATAGTTTGGTATACCAAGCGGACTATTGTCCACTTTAGTCGCATCTCCTAAATCTTCAATAAATTTCGGTTTCTCAATTGGTTTCTCGAGCTTATCTGGAGTCCCCAATACCATCACAGGTTTACTGAAATCCAACGTCGACAACAAGGTATCATCGTCCAATTTACCTCCCTTGACCAAAATCTTTTGTCTTTCTGGTGGAATCTTGGTAGCTTCGTGAACTTTTTGCTTCAATGTGAACCCATTGTCTTGAGGTCCAATTGTTAGCTCATACACCTTTCCCGCATTTCTTATAGTGACTAAAATAGTTTACTAGTTAGTAATGAAATGTTAACGACATTTGGTATCCCAAAATTTTGGTTCTTGTATATTAAACATGCTTTTAGAGCTCATTCCTTAGTGGCAAAATGATGATTAAAACAAACCAGGAATGAAATTTTTTTTATTTTTTTTTATTTTTTTTTTTTTCTTTTGGATTTTTTGTTCGTTTTCTTTTTTTTTTTTCCGTTCGCGGTGGAGCTTGCGGCGCGCCCCCGCGCGCGCGCGGGGGCGGGGGTCATTATTCGTCGACCAAGCTATACAGATTCAATAGTATACAATCACCACCACGTTCTGAGTCCAAACCATAAATGTATAACATTCCTTCAGAAGTGACCACATTCACGTGTAAAAAATTTGTATCCATATTATCTCTACTATCATAACTTGCGGTGATAATATCTTGATTCAGGTTATTGATCATGGCAATTGACTTTATATCTTTATTTTTCGCATCTATCTTGATAGAAGCAAAATGCCGCGTTGGTTCAAGAATTGACGAAAATCTAGAAGGGAGGTAATCGCCCATCTTTTGAGCAGCTTTTCTGCCTAGTGTTTGAGACGACCTTCGAATCATTCGTGCTACCGAAAGCCTATTTTGGTCAATTATTGGTGCAGTGATATCTTCGGAATTTATGCTTGTAAACGAGTTTGATGATCCTTGGGAGAGTTTCCGTTGCTTTGTAGGCACCTCGTCTTCATCCTCGTCGCGGCTGCCGTTGCTGCCGTTGCTGCGGCTATTGCCGTTATTACCGCCATTTCCACCATCTAGGTCCTCCTCCATGTCGTCTGAGTCATCGTCGTCTCCGTCTCCGTCTCCGTCCCTGTCTCCGTCTCCATCGTTATTCTCCTCCCTCTCGGGTTCTTCTTCAATCGTTTTGATTTTTTTCTTATGTTTGTTTTCCAATGCCTCTTCTTCCCCCAACCGAAAGATATGTACGGTTAAACTCGAGCTTGTTGCCAAAACATACTTGTTATCAGAACTGAATTGTAAATGATAGATTTTTGTGGGGTACGACCCGCGTCTAAATTGAAACAACTTTATCCCCGTATTAGTGTCAAAGACTCGAACTATCGTACCTTTATGTGACGCTGTGCAAATTAGCGAACCATCTGCTGAAAACGACATTGCTGCAACATCATTTTTATGGGCACTTATAGCCATTATCGGTAGGAATTTGTTGAGGTTAAATAGTATGATATCACCCTTATTTGAGATCCTATTGCTATTATTATTCAAAGACTCGGTATTTGAAGTTTGTGACGACTTTGCATTGATACTGGCAAGAGCGTCTTTTGTCTTTGGCGGTGATGGATACGCAAGCAAATTGGAGTTACTGTCATAAGAAACAGCACATAGTCCAAGGGGATTTGAATTGGTTTTGATTGTTTGCAAAAGCTTCATTGATTTAATTTCGTAGATGTATATCTGATTTTCTAAAACAACAATTAAATGCTCCTTCGTTAGTTTTACATTTAAGATAGTTGTCGGGAAAAATAAGGAACATATAGTGCTATTACTCTTTGTATTCTTGATCTTCAATTCTCTAGGTGAAGAGCCAATTTCGTTGCCCAAGGGCGTCATTACAATTAACGACGTTGTATAGAGCATTTCAATTATATTGATACTATCATCTTTATAACAACAGCACCTCCCGAATTTCTGCTGAATATTAACAATTTTATAGCCTGTTTTCAATCCTAACGCAACGCACGAGGCATCTTGGTTGAAATTGAGGTATGTCACCAATGAATCACTCATACTTATATCAATAGTAGTAAGTATGTATGAAAAATATATATATATAATAGAATAGAGAGAGAGAGAGAGAAAAAAAAAACATAATGCAATAAAAAAATATCAAACAAACAAAGTGGGTTTTGTTTGTATTACGTCGCGCGCATAATCGACCTAGGGGGGGAAGTTTGGCTTCATAATTGACCTAGGGGGGGGTAGCTTCGTAATTGACCTAGGGGAGCGAGTTTACGTTGAGAGGTCATCGACGGAGTAAGGTCCATGATTAAGTTGTGAGTAAGGTCCATGATTAAGTTGTTAAGAGAAAGATTGTGTTGTACACTCTCAAAGTTTCATTTTTGTATTTTTTAGCGAGTAAATGAAGGATCGTTGTAAAGAGGCTTGAAACAGGTAACAGGTAATTTGTACATTTTTAAGAAGAAGCAATAGAGTGACGACTTTTAGTGATAATCAAAAAGAAAAGAAAAAAAAAAAAAAAAAAAAAAAAACCTGTTAAAATCAGGATATCTTTAGATAAAGAAA